ATAATTACATTTTTAAGACAGATCTAATCATTATTAGGCTTAAGTTGAATAAACAAATGCACATTGAAAACACTTCAATGCTGTTTTATTAAAAAGCCTGTTTTTAAAGCATTTTACCCCCATTTGATGCGAAATAAGTTCTAAGGTCCAATTAACATTAGAAAACATCCTACTGCATTCAACATTTATAATGCATTTGGTTTATATTAATTACCAACATGTTAATACTCTGTAGTAATGTGTTGTGTTCGTTTAACAAGTTCATTCTGTAGCTTAAAACATACATGAAACCATCTAAAGTTAGCATGTAAGTCCTGAAAGCTTCTACAATAAACAAAATTACTCTACCTGAAAACGGTGGTGAACAAATGCTGCTAATGGAGATAAAACTGCTGTAGCTCCTAAATGTTCCTGCTCGATTTTCGATAGCTTTAGCATTTTTCCTTTGTGTGTAGCTGCCGCCACGGCTGTGACGAGACCTACAGGCCACCGTAGAGGTGAAGGCTAGACCGTCCGAATTCAGAGCCGCTGGGTTCCGGTCTCAGAGGTCGAGCAAGGACCCGGCCTTGCTAGACCGGCAAGGACCCGTACTCATAAGCATCCTGCCCATGGATTCAGACACACCCTCTATTATGAGGATTGAGCTACTAACACACACACACCGCTCAGATGGAGAAACGGCAGCTGGAATGGTAGTGATTACTGTTCCAGTCCATCCCTGATGCTTGACCACCACACTTAATACCCATTCAAATAGGGGCTAGTGGTTAGCATTTTGGTTGTTTTCACTGCTCTGACCTTTCCATCAGGTGGTTTTAATGTTGGAAAGGTGCCAATTTAAAGGAGTAATTCAGCTGAAAACCTACTGGTACTTGCGGTGGTTTAACAATCAGTCTGTGAAATCACGGTCGCATTCTGGCTCTGTTTCGGAGAGCTCCTGAAGATAGAATCCAACAATTTCTGGTGATTAAACTTTTTTTTTGGAAGACTGAACAAATTGCTGCACCTCTTGCAGCCAAAAGCATTTGTGCATTCTAGGCATGATCAAAATTTCAGACTGGATAAGAAAGAAATCACTTCTTTGAATCTCTACGGTTTCCAATCACCTGTTCTCTTCTTGCACCTCAGAGAGAGTGCATGTTAGTGTTTACAGTCCAGGGGAGAAGCTTGCAGATTAGGGACACCTGCTAGAGAGGTGCACTGAAGGATGATGCAAACCTGCCCCAGCTTTTTGCTATTTTGTAGCAGACCTGCAGAGGAGATCCTGAATCCTGAATCATATTTCATCTTTTTCAGCCTTATTGGCCTCTCGTTTGTTGGTTTCTTTTTAATATTTAGCATAACGATCTTCTTCTTGGGGCAACGGTGGCAGAGGAGTTAGGTGCTTGCCCCGTAATCAGAGGGTTGCAGGTTTGAGCCCTGCTCAGTCTGTCGCTGCTGTTGTGTCCTTAGGCAAGACACCTAATGCTCCTTGACTGCTGTTGGTGGACCGGTGGCACCTGTGTATGGCAGACTCACTTCTGTCAGTGTGCCCCAGGGCAGCTGTGACTATGATGTAGCTCATCACCACCAGGGTGTGAATGTGTGTGTCAATGGGTGAATGACTGATTGTGTTGTAAAGTGCCTTGGGGGGTTCCAAGACTCCCGCTACCCGCTAAATCAAATACAAGCCTTTTACCATTTCTCGTGAGGAATGCTGTGGACACTTTAATCTGTTCCTTTGTTGTCTTGACTGGAAATCACAACCAAAAGCGGCACAAAGTGCCATTGTAACCCTTCTCCGTAACAGCAGCTAAATGCGAATGCCAAAGTTAATGTCTACAACCAATTTGCATCATCAACCCACAATGTCTTGCACTCTTGAAAACATGGCTGCCTTCATACTTCAAAAGTAATTTGAAAACAGTTAAGACTGTGCGAATTAAAAAAAATACAGATTTGGAGCTCCTAACTGTATTTTCATGTAGCAGAGATCATTTGAAACATCTTTAGAGCAATGTGTCTTTATATTCAGGGTTCCTTTTAAAACTGTCATCAGTGAAATGATGGTTAGACAAACATTCTCAACTGCAGAGATGAAATCAACTACTCACAACTCTGAGAAAGTGGATGTTATGGGCCTACGTCCAGGGGAGGTGGGTTCCAGATCCGAGACTAGCCTTGTGGAGAGGAGGAAGGCCTGATGTTTTTTCAACTTCATGTCTGCAGGTTTTTCTTCAGAATCTGAAACTTGCTGCTGAGACAGAAAAATACACGAATGCAGCTAAAATCTGGTTTGACGGGTGTTTTTCATGAGGAAAAAACAACATCACATGGTAAAAAAATTATATAACTGTCATAAAGTGGATGTTGATGTAGGGCTCAAATGCAGGTAAATGCAGGAGCAGCCATGTAGGTTCAAAATTCAAAAGTTTTACAAGTCTGTGGTGTGGAGCAAAAGCAGGCAGATGCAACAACACAAGGGGTGTTTCCTCGCAAGACGATGTCTTGGCCAGGCGCCTTGCACACGAGGACACTGGTCAAAGAAAACGGTTAAATGGAAGGCATTTGCATCACCGCAAGCCGCGGACATGAATGTCACGCGGCACTGGAGGTAACATTATATATTTATATAGAAACGTATGCGTAAAAAATATAACAAGCCTTTTACATTTTAAATTGTTTATATATTGGACATGTAAGTGAGTTAGCACCTGCTAGCCACCAAAGCTGCAACTACTAAGCAACTAACCAACTATAACTAACTGCTTTGGATATAAAAAATAAATAAATTTCATATATCAGCCCAAAGACAAAGGGAACAGGTGCACTGATTACTGATGAGTGACTAACAGGTGTGACTGGTTAAGCTGAGGGATGGGAGTGAATACAAAATCACTAGAGGGCTAAAACTGAGCCGAGGAACAATAAGGCACAGTCACCTAAACATTAGAACTAACTGCTAAAATACACTAGAGGAGACCAACACAGGAGAGAAACTATGAGGATGAATGAGTAACACAAAACTGACTGAAGACCTAATTGCTAATTAAGAGGAACAACACTAACTAAAGGGACCCCAGGACAACAGCTAAACTGGAGAGATGAACAGAAGATAAGTAGATGAAGAATAATCAATATGAGGGGAAACATCTAAGGCCTAGTCCACACGTAGCCGGGTTTTTTTTTTTTTTAATGAATATCCGCCCCTCCAAAAGCTTGCATCCACACCACCTCGTTTTAATAAAAAAAACTGTCCACACGTACCCGGATAAATACGTTGTTAAGGACATGCCAGACCTGTAGGCGGCAGTACTTCCCCCATTCTTAACCTCGTCCTTCGCCTGTGGTCTTCCGCAAGGAGCAGTAATTCCGCTTGCAAAAACAAACAAGCAAAGAGCGCTTGGACAATTGATAAAGCGAGCGCAGCTCTGAGGGCATCCATGCTGTCGGCTAGTGTAAACACAGGTCGCACACATGATGTCAGCATTTTTTGTTGCGAAAAGTGACGTTGCGGACCTTAAAACTCCGGTTTTGTCCGTCCACACGCAGACACCCAAAACGGAGAAAACGCAGATCTTCACTTTGGCCGGAGTTTTTAAAAAGGTCTGTTTACGTGTGAAAAAACTCCGTTTTCGTGTGGATGACAGGCCAAAACGTAGAAAAATATCTACGTTTTGGCAGATCCCCGGCTACGTGTGGACAGGGCCTAGAACACGGGTGAAAGGTAATGGACACAAAAGGAGGAGACCTAAGATGAATGCTGGGGGGAAAAAACAATAAAGGACTGGGGCAGAGGAGTGGTCAAAGGTAACTGCAGCTGGGGATGAATGAGAGAGCTGAAGGAACAGGAAACAAGGAAACCTGGAAGGAGGGAGAACACATGGAATGGACTAGGGAGACAAGGGAGAGGGGACACAGGGGGACAGGAGACAGAACATGACAATAACACTCCAAAAAGTGGATTTTCTATGATATGGCCCCTTTAATTTTTCACATTATGCAGTTTGTTACATTTTGTTTTGGCCTTGATTACCCCAAAATATTTTTTTTTATTTAAGTTAAACAGTTTAAAAAATTCATTAGACTACATTTCAGTCATGGTAACATGTCTCGGAGTTTTTGGTTAGGATCGTGTCACTCTAGTTTCAGGTATTCAATAATATTCACTAATTTTACCTTTAAATCAATACATGTAATCACAGCTGTTTAAAACTGCAGAACGTTTTTGAGTAATGAAAACGTAACTGAATCCATGTGTGTGCTTTCCAGTGGAAGGATCCACTATAAGGAGATGTACAAAGTTGTACGCACAATCTCACCTCCCCTGGGATTTGGAAAGAACTGCCCTCACAGGGTGGCATGCAAGGTTTGGTTCCCCCATGTCAACAAACGTCCCCTCGGCCTCTTTTATGTGGGATCCTTCCTGATTTCCTCCTTTTTCCCCCCATTCCTTTGCTGACTGTCACCACCCTGCTTGACCTTTAGAGATGTGTTACTCAGGTTAAAGAATGGCAGTACTTCAGTCTCAGGGTACTAAGGCACAGAAAGACCCTCATTTTCCCATATCACTACAAAATTTTAATACTAATGATAAAAAGTTGTGTTTGCAATCTGAGGGGAATTCTGTCTCTTTCTACCTTTTGGATCTGGACAGTTTTGTTTTGTGCTACACAACGTAAGTATCCAGTACCAGATCCAGTGGCTGTCACTTCTTTGCTCATCATGTATAACGACTCCTTGCTTACTAGATTTCTATGTCCTGTTGTTGGCATAGAAAGAATATAGTATTTATTTATCCTACTTCCTTGTGTGAGATACTTTTAAAATAATATTTCTCTTCGTTCTTATTCCTCTTCACCCCCTCCTGTTCTACTTTCATCCTCCATTCTCTTGGGAATGCACTCTCCCGATGCCTTCACTCTAAATACATTTCTGCTCCTAAACCATCCTTCCTTCCCTCCTTCTTTTCCCACCCTCCTCTCTTCATCTCCACCCTCATGGCTCCCTGGCGCCCCCAGTGGTCGTATCCATTACACTGACATGTATGAGATGTTGACCAACATGTCGCCACCTCTAGGCCTGGGCAAGAAATGCCCCTCCAAGGTGGCATATAAGGTAGACTGAGCGCCACAGACAGGCGCTGATATACATTTGAATAAATGCTGAGATGAACACTGTAAAACGTCGGGGTTTTTTGTGTCAGACACTGGCTAAATAAAGCATCTTTTGTGTTAATGACATGATGGAGAATTGCTTGTTGGAGTTTTTGTCTATTGGCAGATAGTGGGTGCAATGATTTGCCTGTTTGCTTTGCATCTTGGCAGAAAACTATGACATCATTATCTGTTTGGTGATATGTGATGGAAAAAAATCATCGCCACTGCTGCTGATTCTGATGCAGCATCAAGAAATAATGAAGAGAAAGTTGTTAAACATCTACATGCTAGATATGATCATCCTGCCAGTTGTTCTCTCGTCCTTCATACTCTTACATTTACCTGTCTGCATGTGCATGCTGCCATCAATTTGTGTTGCATTAGTGATGTAATGAGCTCTTTGTGTATGTGTTGTTTAGATGTTTGCAGACATATTTGCAAGAATGCCCAACAGCAAATGTATCCTTTATGAATGGGTGAATGAGTGATTGTAGCGTATAGCGCTTTGAAGTCCTTAAACCTGCTAAAGTACTGAACATTTACCCCATTTACCATTTATTTAAATTAAAGTTAAATAAACTGACTTGAGTTTTTTTAAGCACAAAGGGGAGACAATATTGATCCTTTTTATAAAAACTAGCTTTTCGGCATTTTAGTCCCAAAACCCTGTCTCAATTATTCATTCATCCCAGGAAATACTTGCATAATTTTTCCATTTTGTGTCCATCTTAATGGTAAAGTTGATTTGATTCAAATGACTCATTAAGCTTCTTGCAAACTGAGCTGCAGGAAATGATTGTTCAAATGTTAAATAAGTGGTTACATGTCATTATTTTAATTGGTTTGCCTTAAAAAAACTGATCTAAGTATCTAATATTGGTTTATGAAAGATTTATGTGTGAGAGGGCAAAATGTTTTTCTATTTCCTGACATGAGTTTAGATCTTACATGTTGGACAGACGGCTTTGGGGAAAGTAGGGTACCAAAAAGTATTATTCTATTTCTGTTATGATCAGAGACTTGTCCTGATGAACATGCCTGTGGACGACCACATGACCGTCCACTTCACGTCCACCCTTATGGCCCTGATCCGCACCGCCCTCGAGGTCAAGATAGCGAGAGGTTGGATATTATGAGCCCTCCAGCATCTCTGCAGTAATCTAAAGCTGAAAATTTCTTACCTCACTTTTTTCCCGCACCCCCAGGAGGAGAAGATCGAAATCAAATGGATTTGGATCTGCAGAAGGAGATTGGTGTGATCTGGCCTCACCTCTCACAGAAGAACCTGGACCTGCTGGTTCCAATCCACAAAGGTCAGATCAGATTCTTAGCTGCTGTCTGACCCTTTCTGTAGGATCAGTCTTGAATGGTAAACATGCTTCTGTTGGATCCTGGGTTGGGCTCAGAGGGACAGCACTGGACTGGTTTAGCTCGTATCAAATCGATTAAAGTATTTCAATGTCTGCTTCAATAATTGTTCCTCTGCATCTGTTTCTTTTCCTTTTGGGGTCCCTCAGGTTTCTATACTGAGATCCCTTCTTTTGTCTATCTACATCTTCCTGCAAAACCATGTGGCAAATTATCACATCTATGCTGATGGCCATCAACTCTACATAAATCTTCATGCCTCCTGGTTGGCAGCTTGACAAAATTCAGTTATAATCGGTGAAAACAAGTCTTTCCTAGACCGTCTTCAGAAGGCCCAAACAATTTTCCGACAAACTCGAAAAGACGCACTCATTTCACTCCTGTACTTGCTGAGTTACACTGGCTAATTCATTTCCTGCTGTTTGTACTTGTTTCTGAGTTTTACCATTTCCCATTGTAACTGTCATACTGAGTGGTAAAGTGCTTTAGAAATAAATTCGACTTGGCTTCTTTCTCCCTTAGCCAGTGACATGACCATTGGGAAGATTTATGCAGCCATGATGATCATGGATTACTACAAGCAGAGCAAAGCCAAGAAGCTGCGCCAGCAACTAGAAGAACAGGTCTTATTTTTCTTTAGGACATTATTGCAATGCAAAAACACACAGATAGATGGAAAGCTTAAATATTTTAAATAACATTTGATATTTTTCTTAATTCTCTCTTTAGAAACATGCTCCTATGTTCCAGCGTATGGATGCTTCCTCCCTTCCTCAAGAAATACTATGCAATGCCAAATCCCTGTCGTTCTTCAGACACAGTGCAGGATCTGCTCTGTAAACATTCATTCAATCTGCTTGTTTTGTTATGTTTTTGTTCTGTATTTATTGTGTATTTATTCCTAAAAGCCATCCTGACAACTTTTTACGGTGTCCCCTCAGCACCAGAGGAGGTTTTGTGGCACTTAGCCCCATTTCTCCCCAGGAGATGTTCCTGCAGCCACCGTCTCGCTCCAGAGAGGAGAGGGGGGAGGTAGAGGAGAATTATCACTCACCATACCTCCCCTACCATCACCACCACCACCATCGTCATTTACACACACTGGTAACTGTTATTTTTAATTTGAGGAGTGTTTCGTGTTAGCTGCCCTGCTTCTTAGACCCAGAGTGGGAAAGTGTTTTTTCTGTTCTGTGGAGGTGCCCGAGGTCATCGAGTACAACCAGCTGATGCAACAAGCCAGCCAGGACCCAACTATCAATAAGTCGCCTCAGCACACTTCATCTATCAGAGCATCCTCCATGCCCAGACTGGCTGTTGATCCACAGGTAATGAAGAGAATTTAATCCTTCATCCTGAGCTTAAAAATAAAGATTCAGCAAAAACCAGAAACCCTTTTAAATGTTTTCAATTAGCAAAATTAACGTCTTTATTTGATGTTATTCATGGTTACTTAAACAACTGGTCACCTGGTTGTTTTGCACACGTGAAGCCTGGGGTGTCAGCAGACGATAAGCTGATGAAACGTTCCTTCTCCACCATTGGGGATCAGTGTGTGAACGACCTCTGGCAGGAGCAGCACTCTCTGGAGAGAATCAGTCCTGACGGCACGTTCAGAACCAGGCAAAGGAGCTACAGAGGTGACTTCTCTTCAGTTTTATGGTCTGTCTGAATAGTGATTTCAGAAAGAGTGTCTTGAGTAAACATTATTTATTGCAAAATAAATAATTTAGTTGAATAAAGTCTGATTTCAAAAGTATGACTACAGAAGCAGCATTTTAGGATAATATTTTCTTTACAATGGGAACAAAATTAAAGATAAATTTAATTACATATTGAATAAGTAGAGGGTAATATGAACACTTCTTGTTGGCTCTTGAATAAAAAAATAGGCCCTCGCATCAGCCCCAGAGAAACATGCAGCCATGAAAGAGGGAGGTCAAAAGAGCGACGCCATCTTCTGTCTCCTGATGTGTCACGCTGTAACTCTGAGGAGCGAAGCCGGGAGCCTTCATATGAGAGAGGACGATCCCACTCACCGGGTGAAGGACGTGCCCATGGCTTACACAAACAGGTGGGACAACAAACTTTTTCACTTGATATTTTAAAAATATCAGTCACTCTGAGCTTGGCATGTGGGTTAGTTATGAAAATAGACTTCTACCTATATTTCCTGTTTTAGCTGCTGATGGAAAATGGACGGGTAAATTCATGAGTTAGAAACGCCAGTCAGATCTACGTCGCACTGAAAATTAGTATTCATGGCCTCATCCATCTTGTCTCACAATGGGGAAGACTGTTGTTGGCTTAGCATCCAGGAGAGAGCAGAGCATGTAGCTAGTAGAAGCTAGCCATTAGCATTAGCAACTCCAACACACTGCAGAACTCCTTCAGGCTTGTGGTATTTATGGAGATAAAACGTCAACGTTGCAAACCAAACAGAGTCATAGAGTTGCGTTGCTGTTAGCCAATTAGCTCAGCTTTGCTCCGGCTCACTCCCAAGTTCCTGAAACATGAGTGTGAGAGCTTTGTTCCCTTAAGCCGGGTGTACACTGTGCAACTTTTTCACTTTTTTGAGCCGATTTTCCAGTCGTGCGAGAATCCACGACATCGGGGCGAGTTTTGCGCCGAGCAGTCGTGTAATGTACAGGGGTTACGAGAGGCGATTAACACCACGTGACCAGCTGCCGATCAGCAATCGTGAGCTCGCACGGACTTCTGGTGTGTTTAATATTTCGCTCGTCCCTTGTGAGGGTATCGCACTGTTGAAGCAGCGCTGTGAGCAGCTGCGACCCAAAAAGTATCAGAACCGCTCACGGCGCATGCGCGCGCAATCCTGTATCAACGCCGGTCGCTCGCTATTTCCCTAATAACACACGCTGTTCGTTTTTGTTTCTACACGTTTTTTTTACTCACAAAGATTGTCAAGAAAGCGTGTTTGTCGTGTTCATGTCAAATTAAACTGATCACAAAACACAGATTCACTTTCTTTATTTCGTTTTCCTCATCCAGCCCCCATAAATTCCTGTGTGTCCTCCTGCAGCACTCCCGAAGGACAACAGGAGAGACGAGACAAAAAAGTCTGACGTGTTGAGTAAAAACTGCTATTTTTAGCACATTTTTAGGGCCGACGTGTTGCTACCAGACGTACGGTGTGAGCAGTCAGGTCGCATGCGAGAACTGGGTCGTACAGTGTGAGCACATGACTCGTGAGATCTGCTCTGCGAGGAAGTCGTACAGTTTGAGCTGAAGCTGAACGCTGCGAGTGAAAAAGTCACACAGTGTACGCCCGGCATTAGAGATCAACTCATGAAGCATTCAGCAAACTATGCAAATTTGTTGAAAAACAAGTGGACTTGGTCTTTAAATTACAGATTTGTTTTCATTATTTAATTAAATGCAACTTGGGATTATTTGTGAAATTTTTTTCTTGACTGTAACTGTGTGGAGTGCTCAGTCAGTGTATTACCTGCTCTAGACAGGCGGTCAGAGTGCCCTGATCAGGGGGATTTCTGACAGAAGAACAATGTTTATCAGAGTGAAGCCCACAGAGAAGCAAATATTTCCATTTTAGAAAACTCAAAAGTTTGACATCCGATTTTCTTGCTTTGTCCTCCGTGAGCGCCCACTACTGCCGATCTCAGTGTCACATTTAAGCTGAAGCAGGTTTATTATTTGTGCCCGTGGTGCAGATTCATGGGTTTTAACTGTAAGTAGATGTAAACCACCTGGAAGAAAACACTCTTTCCCTTTTCCTCATCTTGGTGTTCGAATTCCAGGTGAACGCGTCGAGCAGCCCGGCCAACTCCGCCTCTGAATCTGGTACACCTCGTAATCGGCGCCAGCTACCCCAGACCCCATCACGCCCGCGGCCTTACATCTCCTACTCTCCTCTTGTCTGCCAAGCCCCCACTTCTCCCACGGCTGCCCCTTCCAATGAGGAACAGTCTCATCCCCAGGATGTCTCGACAGGTGTTCCCACAGAGACCACACGGAGACCTGACAAGGTGAGCAGGCCCCTGTCTGCAGGCCAGTTCTCACCTGGAGATCAGATTTCAGGTCCGAGCCATCAATCTCCTCACCGCTACATATCGGAGCCCTATCTCCCATTTCATGAAGATTTCTGTGGGGACAATACAGGAGAGAGGCAGGAGACACTTACGTTTGAGACTGCCGTGGCCACCAGTCTGGGACGTGCCAACGCCATAAGCTCCGCCCCTCAGCTCAGACACTCCTGGCAGGTTCCTAATGGGCATTTTCGGAAGCACTTGGTCCAGGCGAGCCCGACTGATGCCAGTGAGCTGCTTAGTGACACAGATGAGGATGACCGCTGCTAAAACCCAGAGACGTAGATAAGAGGGATGCACTGAGCTTTCAGGGCCTGAGATCCGCTTTCATGAAACCAAGAGGAAACGCTGTAGCTCCTCCAGGGCTCAGAGAGCCTCATGTTCTCAGCACCAGTAGCATTACAGCCAGGACCGCTGTTCACACCTGTTTCTGTCTACATATGCGTGTTTGTAGTAGCCGAAAGGAGACTAAAATTCAGACATGAATGTGTTTTTACGCGTGTCTGGTCCCAATGAAGAATTTGCCAAATAAAAGGAAAAACTGAGGATAAAAGCAGGCAAGCCCATCTGTCGCAACGCCTTCCCGCATAAGTTAAGTGTTTTGATTGTTATTAAACAAAAATAGTAAGACATGAATCCAAGGAGTCAAAATCTCCTGCAGTAAATCCAGAAGTCAGTTTAGGTGTGATCTGTGTATGTGAATCTAAAGGTAGCTTGTACAGATGAATGTATTTGAGTTTCACCTTCTGGTTTTGGGAGGAAGTTGATGTCGTGCCAAGTTGTGAGAGTAGAGGTGACTGAGTCAGCCATCCCAAACACTTCCTGTTTACAGCAAGGGTTTAAACGATATTCACGGGCATTGAACAGTCAAGGAGAGGTTTTGTGAAACCGTCACCTGGGGCAGTGAGATCTGGGACCATTTTTATTATTATAGTTTTTTGAATCTTTTAATCTGGGAAACGTATCCTAATCCTGCTGGTCAGAGTGTACAAAAATATGACCTTCTTGAGGACTTGTGGTCTTCTCACCTTCTACTATCTGTAGAAACAACAACCCTGATGACGTTGAAGCCAAACAGATGTCATCTCTCTGCTTTACAAGCACCCTCGGTGTTTGTTTGAGAAGCAGACTGAAGCCATGTTTTGTCTGAAATACTTTTCTCTTCTGGACGTGTTGCTGTTTTTTGTATGTTGATGAAAGTAATGTCCTTTATACAACAAGGATGCTTTAATTAAATCAGCCATGCTCTTTTTATTTGTTGCATCTGAACACACATTAGGAACACTTATTGCTGTTTTCTGTGTTTGAAGGTTATAGTAATTTTCCACGTGCATGACTACGTCTCAATGCTGCCTGGTTACTTTGATTGTTTAACTACAGGTGGTTTTGATTTTTTTCCCATCTCCAGAATTCACTCCCCTCATTTTTAAACATTCCAAAACTTTAGACGATTTTCCTCCGAGTGAGACGTGTATTTATATCATGTGCTGTTGTGCTGTTATAAGATGTTTGAAATGTGAACACGGGACATTTTTGGATGGACGGAAAAGTGAAGAAGAGTAGGGCTTCATCCTCTTGTTTATCTACATGATAAAAAAGCGTCCTTTACATGTGAAGTGCAGCCTAAGGCTTAAGGCTGATGTCCGTCAGTACAGAGCAGCCTAATCTGTGCCTGGGGAGAGTTCCCTTACCAAACCTGGATTTATTAGATAAAGAAGCTTTCTGGTAAATATGTAAAAAAAAAAAAAAAAAAAGTAAAAACTGTATTAAAAAATAAACAGATTAATGTTGCACTTGTTGCACTTTTTTACTTAAACATGCATTGTGTAAGAACAAAGTAAGAATGACATTGTGTGGTCATATTGGGGTACTGCAGTCCATTTTCCAAACACACTGGTTTTGCCGTTAACGGCTCAGCGCCAGACGATTCTAGATGACAAGCAAAGGTGAGTCATACACGGTAAGATAAGTAGATTAATACAGTTCACTGTAATATTGAGTTGTTGATGATAAAAAAGTAGCTGGAGATTTTTATTTTATTTTTTTTTTGCTGACTTTTCTAATTCATTGTTTGCATTGTTAGCTCAACGTTAGCCTCCAGTCTTCTCTACCCAATGTTAGAGTAAAACAAAAATATGCTGTGGCTTCTTACGGGTTCACAAAATAACTTCTTGGTCACTACCATTACTGGCTTACCTTTACAATACAGTGCTGCGTTTTTTTTTTGTCCGGTGTCAAAAAGCCAGCGCTGCAGCGATAGTTTTGCACAAACTTGGCAACACTACGGACTCACAGATTGTCAACAAAGATTCAGCTATACGGAAAGCTAAACACTCCTGATCAAAATCCAAGAAACAGGCTATGTGTTGGTGTTAGGGATTTTATCAATATATTTTATCAATAAACCCATTTCCTGCAGCTAGAGAGAGAAAAGGAGACAATGAAGCAGACATACAACCAAAATTGCAATTTTGTAGCAAGAGCACGAGGCAAATGCCCCAAATTCTTCTCAGAGTGTATTTATTACAAAAGATAAGAAAGGAATGAGAGTGGGTCATGTGTGAGAGAGCGTGAGTGTGTGTGTGTATGGGAGGTTACAAGAATGTGTGTGTGTGTGTGTGTGTGTGTGTGTGTGTGTGTGTGTGTGTGTGTGTGTGTGTGTGTGTGTGTGTGTGTGTGTGTGTGTGTGTGTGTGTGTGTGTGTGTGTGTGTGTGTGTGTGTGTGTGTGCTTTCAGGACATTCAGTTAATAGATTTGTTAATAGGACTAAAGTAATGAAATATATAATTTCCATAACAGTTGGGTTGGATGATTTAATGACGAAGTGTCGAACTGTTGACAAAATCAGAAATAGGATAAGTAAAAATGTTGCAACATTATATGTAATACAAACACGGCAGTAAAGCCAGACATCCATAAAACACAAACTTGATATTTATCTGCTAAATGATTCCCAAAGTAAACATGACATGAAATCATGTTGATCTAGATCAGGGATCTCCAACCTTTTGGAGACCATGAGCTACTTTTACACAATAAAAGTACAGAAAAGCTACGATTTATTCACATTGATACTTGCCATGTGTGAATGTGCTTACTATGTTAAAAAATGCTATACTTGCTATATTAACATGCATTGTTTTCACAAGCTGCTTTCTCTGTATTTCTATACATCAATGTTGTAAACATTGTAAGAGGAAAATAGTCCATTACAAGTTGGGTGGGATGGCTCGCTGGCTGCTTCCATGCAAGGGACTTCAAGTGCACCACGAGCTACCGTGTTGGAGACCCCCTGATCTAGATGCATGTGCAACATCACATAAACCACATAGCATTTTAGCTAAATCAACCACAACTAGCTCAGTTCATACACAAACCCAAATTAGGTTTAAACCATAAAATGTATTGCTTTCAAAACAAATCATAATGCACATATGTTGTTTTAATGATAAACAATATTACTTATAGATGATTCAGTTTAGCAACTTGTAAAATAATAAATGGCAACAGATTAATACAGGTGTGCCTGCCTCTGGGTAATAATAACTGTATATGTATATCGCCTTTAAACAAAGCGCTGCACAGCATACCACAATGTAAAACAACAGCATCAGCCATAGTCAAATGGAGTAAAACATTAAAATCAAAGATGAAATAAGAACATGCTAAAATAAGAAGTTAAGTTAAACTGCCTAAAAAGTGATCAATCCTTAAAAGCTTTAGTAAAAAGGTTGTTTTAAACACTTCCACCGAGCATGCTTGTCTGAAATCCTGTGACAGATCATTCCAGAGTGATGGAGCACGAAAAGCAAAGGTAGATGATGAAGAAGGAAATACACATAAAAACCACTAGAGGCAAAACATAAAAATAGAAAATAGTTCATTCCGTCAGAACATCTTTCTTTGGCCATTTTGACACGCGCACGCACACACACACACACACACACACACACACACACACACACACACACACACACGTACACACACACACACAGCCAGCTGACTCCTCCTTTCCACTAGACATGTGAACAACGTGTAATCTAATAGAGGCGTTATATTCACGAGCTCCCTCAAGTGTTTCAGTGTTAGCATTCTACACAGCTGGTCCTGCAAGGTCACAAAATCAGAATTGCAAGTACAAGCGTGATTTCGGAAGTTCACGAAATAACAAGGAGAAAGGCATGTATTCAAAAAAGTCTATTTTCTATTCTGTTTCCGTTGGCTATGAAGGTTTCACAGGAAATGACGTACGTTTCATAGTTAAGCAGCTGGAAATCTGCACTTGACTTTTATTTTGAAAGTTTCCAAATGGTATACACTGATTTTGTGTTTAACTTCCTGTCTGGCCGGCCCAATCTAAAGTGCAGAGTTTGACGTGTTCTGGAAGCGTAACAAGTAAAACATAGACAAGGAAAACTAAAGCAACACATACTTTTGGTTCTGGGAAACGTACAAAACATCACACTTCGCAGCCAGTGGAAAGGAACCCGTTCACTGTAATGGTGGCTAATTTGCTGTGAAGACGGTTTTCGAAACGCTTTGCATCCAGTGGAAAAGAGGGGTGAGAAGGAAAGATGTTTCAATTGAACCATCTTTCCAACAAGACAGACTGTTTAATTTTTATTTCACTATCAAATTCTCACATAATGAACCTTTAATCATGTTTTTTATGACAGTTTTTCTGGACTCCTTTCTCTTCTGTGCATTTTCATAGTAAATTAGCTTCGTTAGTACAGCAGCTAAAGGACAATTTCAAGGATTCTGTGACTTTAAGCTGAATGCCAAGGTGTTTGTGTTGTAGGCATGTTTCCTAATTAGTGCACCTCAAAAGACACAATATCTTCAAGTTGTGGCATTTAAGCTAGAGACAGTGTGTAGCCAAGCTCAGAAACCGCACACAAAACATGGAAAGCAGGTCAGAAAAAATGATTTATCAGCACAGCTTTGTTTATCATTTCATTTATAAAGTTACTGCATGATACATTCTACTAACTACAAAACATGACACTTTCTTGATTGATGTTGTAACGTCTGCAATGTACTTTGTGTACACAGTACAAATGTCTGCGCACCTGCAAGAGTCGGAAGTGTGAACAAATAAATAAACCTTTGTTTTTGCTCCAGTTTTTCATGAGCTCAACTCACAGATCTGAAACGTTTTCTATCTGCACAAAATACCTCTATTATTCTCTAGTATTGTTGACAAATCTGTCTAAATAGTGAGCATTTTCTTTTTGCTGAGATAACCCATCCCACCTTACGGGCGTGGCACATCAAGGTGCTGATTAGAGAGCAGGGATTTTTCACAGGTGTGCTGGCAGTTTGATCACGCAGCACAATGTCATAGAAGGACCTGTTTTATTGTGTCAAATATGCAGAGAATAAAAATAAAACATGACTGTTTCTTTAACTTTCACAAATAAAACAATGGTTTATATAACTATATTCTAATGACTCTGTATTCAGTGTAAAGTCCTGTAGTGTGGATCTGAATAGTCTAATATTGTAATTTTTGAACTAAAGGAGATCAAAAATAAATGGTAAATGGCCTGTATTTGATATAGCGCCTTCTGGAGTCATGGAACCCCCCAAGGCGCTTTACAACACAATCAGTCATTCACCCATTCACACACACATTCACACCCTGGTGGGGATGAACTACAATGTAGCCACAGCTGCCCTGGGGCGCGCTGACAGAGGCGAGGCTGCCGAGCACTGGCGCCACTGGTCCCTCCGACCACCACCAGCAGGCAAGGTGGGTTAAGTGTCTTGCCCAAGGACACAACGACAGCGACAGACTGAGCGGAGCTCGAACCAGCAACCTTCTGATTACGAGGCAAGCACTTAACTAAGTGGAATTGCCCTTTATCTAAAGTTAGTCTACAGAATACAACCCTACACCCCTTAGGAGCCAGTCTCTTGTTGCTCTTCTGATCCTCGTGTCACATTCCTCACCTGGACCACAGTACGCCACTTCTCACTCTTTACACACACAAAAAATGATGATTCATTTTTACTTTAATTTGCAAATTGGCCAAAATAGTTTATAATTTTAAAAAATGGGGAGGTTTCTGCTGATTTCTGAGCTCTTGTGATCACCTCAGACTGACTCAAACAGAAGCAAAAGGATTCACACCTTCTGTACGTCAGCAGACAGCACACCTAAGTGTTGTTCACACTCTGAGGCGTGAGCGGCTAGCAAACCCACTGAGGATTAAAGTGCTGGACACCAACTTGTCTGGCATAACAATGCCACAGAAGGCAGATGAAAATGTGCTTGATTTGATAATCTGTCTTTATTCTGGGCTGCAGACTTGTGTGTGCTCCAGGAAAGGGTGTGTTCCTGCAGCCGCTTGGAGCTCCGATTTTGGAGAGTAGTCCAGATTTGAAGTGAACCAGAAGTCATGTGGGGTTTCCTGGTTGCAGTCCTGCTTCTAAGAAACGTAAGTTCTGTTTATCAGTTTCTTAATTCAAAGTTTGCCCGTAGAGTTGGGTTTATTTTCCAGCATATTCCAGTATACAACAGCTAGTATCCGAAGCAGAAATAGCAATGTTTTCTGTTCAAAAATTAAAAGGATAAATCCTTAATAATTTGAAGTATTGAAGATTAATATTGATGCTATTTTAAAAATGACTAATATAAATGTAGCATTTAATATTTCATTGGACTCCGGATTTCTATTGCTATTCATTAGATTAAACTACTATATACATAAGTACTCAAAATACTACAGCTCAGGTTTTGACAGTTGTTTCTATGATCACACACAAAAAAGTATCCTTTTATTGTGCAGAGCAAACTGGTCACTTACTGATCGAAACGTCTGATCCTCACAATCTTCAGGTTTTCTGTAAAAACAAACTCATGCTTCCTTCTGGATGTTATGTATTTTTTTTATAAAGTGGCTCTCATATAAATAGCATGTGGATAAAAGGTCAGGTTGTCAATGTAACTGATGCATCAAGCTTTTTTACTGTTTGTTTGTTTGTTTGTTTGTTTGTTTGTTTGTTTGTTTGTTTGTTTTTTCTCCAAAAAGTCTGTGAAGCTAAAAAAAACCTTTCAATAAAAGCCACTTTATTTTCTAGTTGAAGCTCAGTTGGTAAAATCAGACTGTAGCAGTAATGTGGTGCAATCGATGACAATTTTATAAAAGATTAGGTGATGGCAGCATAAAGGGGGTATGGGGGCGGTCTCTGCGCTGCCGCAGACTTCCGTTTATCTTGGACATAACTTGCTTTTTATTGAGATTGAAGCCGTGATCGTGTCAGGTTTAAACTCCTAGACATCATACACAAAGAAGAAAAGAGACACAAAAGTCAGAATTCTGTTTTATGCTCGAGGTGAATGGAATAAGCTCCGACCAGCTCAGTCTCCACTGGGCTCACAGGTCCTCCAAAACCACTCTGCCTTTGAAATCCGAGCGTGTCCTTTTAGTACAAGCTGGGCGGGTCCCTAGATACATGCCTGAGAGCTGACACTGAAGGATGGGGGGAATCACAGCTCTCAGTTTTTAATTGTTACAAGTTTCACACAAGCACCATTCAGTATCACACAAAGAGCATTCAATTCAATTAAATTCAATTCAAAAATATTTTATTAATCCCAGAGGGAAATTGATTGCTGTAGTAGCTCAGAATAATAATAATAATAATAATAATGAAGTCATCAAAGAGTTGTTGTATATTACAATGGCTGTTGGCAGGAAGGATCTCCAGTAGCGGTCAGTGTTGCAGCGAAACTGAAGAAGCCTCTGACTGAAGACACTCTTCCGTTGTCGAACAGTCTTGTGAAGAGAATGCTCAGGGTTGTCCATCATTTCCTTCATTCTCTGGAGAATCCTTCTTTGCATTCAGTACTAATCAGTGTCTAATCACACAACGTGCAACAGACAGTTGCACGAGCCAGCAGTTGTCCAAGTCAGCAAATGTCCTTGGGTCACATTAAGTCAGGACCAAGGCTCACCATTCTTAAAGTCTCCTCATGAGACTTCAAACAATACAGCAACTGTTCAGCATAAATGGTAAAATCTTTAAATGTAATAAAAGCATAAAGCATGATAAAAGAAAACACATATAATTATCTTAACAGATCGTTAAGTTTTTTTTGACAAGCAGCTCCTAAAGGTGTCTGTCCCCATCAGTCCCTGTGCAGTCTCTGGTGATCTGAGCTTCAGCTCTAACAGAGAGGCTCGTGGAGCGCTGCGGAGCTCCAGTTTGCCTACTCAGCTGATTTTGTTCAAAAAGCAAACCTTATTGCCCGTGTTTACTTTCATTTTCAATAAATTTGCCAGCCGGAGCTCAGCAATAACTCCCCACGTCATCATGACATTTGCCTCTGTTGCACCAGGGCGCATACGACAGACCATTACCGCAATGTTACCACCAAGCGAGGCGGAACGAATGCTGCAAAATTTGCGCAACGCCATGCCGGCATGGCCCGTTTGGCATACCATTGCGGCAATATTACGCCGATTTGCCGGCATGGTGTGTCCTATAAAAGCAGCTATTTGACTCCCATGTTGAAAAGGAAAATTTCACAACAGAAATAAACATATTAACAACCTGGTTCAAAGAATCGTTTTAGGATTAATAGATCTAGTTTACATTCATGACCACTCCGAGGGGTGTGTGTTTTTGTAACTCTTCGGTTTAATTGTACTTAAATGCTTAAAATCCTGAATAATTAATGAGCATCAGAGTCACTTCAGAGCTAACTTCGGGGAAAAGCCTCAGCCTGGGCCTCGGTCTCATATTAATAGATGTTCGGCCTTTTCGGCTCTCTGAACTTTAGTTTAGTCTGTGTGTTTGTGTTCGTGTTTGGATGTTAATCATGTAATTATTTGGACAAAGAGGACAAGCTGTGGTTATTGACTGCACTAACAGATCATCCAAGCAGTTTCAGCTTCTTTTATCAGTAAATCAATTTATATTTCTGTACTTTATTTCTCTGGTTGAATGGGGGAAATGCTGTGTCATTTACCTGCTTGGTCAAACATGTTAGTGGGGCTGCTGGCTGGATAAGAAATTTGAGCAGATGCCCGTTTGCTGTCTCCTGCCTGAGACGAGTTACTAGAGCAGGTGGCTGGCTGTTCCTGTTTCCCGGGTCATGCTGGAGGCGTCATTTGGAATCGTAGGATATCCAAGGAAGAGCCCGTCTTTCTCGGAACAGAAGGGCTACAAGGGCACAATTGGCTAATGCAAACCGTCTTCCCATGAAGTGCCGACTGTTCTCTCAGACGGGACCTTCCTTGGACATACTCTGATTCCAAATGACACGACCAGGAGCCCTGGCCTTTCTGATCATCTCATTCTCTGCGGTTGGAGATCAGTGAGTAACTATATGCTAACCCGAAACTAACAAAGTTTTTCCATGGGTTTTTAGCAAGAAAAACACATTAAAGCAACGACATTGGAGTCGTTTTACTGCGTTAGCATGTAGCTAATGTCCTGCTGATCTCTGCCTGTGGAGAATGAGCTGGGGCCTCATTTATCAAGCTTGCTAACGCACAAAACGGGGTCAGAAAACTGCGTAAGCAACTTTCCACGCAAACTTTGGGATTTTTTAAAGAAAACTTAGTGGAAAAATGTGCGCAACTTCAAGCTGACTGAGGACCTGGCTTACGCACATTTTGGACATGGAGAGCACCTGCAGTGCTGCTGAGAAGGATAAAATTATGATATCCTGCAGCATTACCTCCCACACGCACACACACACGCGCGCACACACACGCAGCCTGAGACGCAGAATGCGGAATGCAGAATATCAGCAGGGGGACAGATTGAGACAGAATGCCATGCGTCTGTGACAGTGTGTGTCCTGTCACTGTAACCCGATTGAGCATGCGCCCTGGCTACTTGTACAGGGAGATCTCTGTTTGGGTGACTGGTTAGCGTGCATGACTTTCACCTGGGAGTCTGGGTATTGAATCACGATTGGACCTTTTTTTTATATCCGCCACAGATCTCTTTGAAGAATTCACAACATTGACGGCTTCAGCAACGCTGTGCCACTAAGTGGATTTTCTCTTATTTGTTTTGCAAAAGCACTTCCTTTCATTTCTCCACCTCACCCACAGGTACCTCAATTTCTGCTTGTGAAATAGCGCCTCCTTGATCTGCAGTCGTGACCGAAATGCTGCTGCAAGCCGGCTTATGTATATGCATGAGATCCACAAGGCACTTTGCATTGACTATTTATGGCAGTAAGTGGGCGTGGTGAGGGCGGGATGTGACTAAAAAAGCAGCTGAGAACCTTTCTAGATAGTTTCTGATTTATGAAGCGGATATTGTGTGCAGCTGTGCGTACTCCATGTTTGATCGATCACAAACCTACTTGGCGTAAGTACATTCTTTTTGCTGAGCTTAAGTACGGTTTTAGTAAGGATTCTACCCAATGTTTGATTAATGAGACCCCTGATCTGTAAGGCCAGGGCTCCTGGTCACAGCGATCTGGCTCTGCTTGTAATTTAACAGTCCCAGTCCATATTAGACCTCTACAGGCGACCAGCAGGACTACAGCCTCGCACAGGAGCCAGTTGGTCATGCGAGCGAGCTACCCCGCGGTCCCCGGAGCCCTTCTTAGCTTCTTAGATTAGCTACGTTAGCTAGTAGCTACATTGGTTTCATTTGTTCCAACCCTGTTCCAAATGTAACAGCCCCACCCTCAGCTCCACCTTTTTTCCCATTTTTGGATTGTCTGGGCATGACTTGGTGAAAAAATCAGCTGGGAACCTCCCATTTTTGGCTTCAACTTTCCCCCCTGTGGAGCAATGGGCGGGCCATGGCCACATTTTTTATGTGTCGATGACGGGAACGCGCAGTTGAGGGGCATGAGGGTGGAAGTGCGAGTATTGGAACTGGGCCTAAGAGTGCAGCAAAACTGTTGGAGCAGATACATTTTCTGTTGCTTCTTTGAAAATTAAATTAGCAAAAAATGCCATGTACAAAACCAAAGTTTAGCCTTTTTCACACATCTACACAGCTTAATTAGACCCTTCCTGCAGGGTTCTTTGAGCAGCTTTACAATCTACATTTTTTCTATGTATTCCAGTGAATGCATGATGATAATGAAAACATTGATTTCTTCTCTGTTTGATTTGATTTTACAGTCATTTAAATGACATTGAACTTTGAACATTTAACAGTTTTTAGCTTCACATGAATACATTTCTATACCAGTTTGCACAAAACTCATTTTCAAACTGGACCTTTACAAATCTGAAAAATGTTACAGGTAATTTATTTTTCAAAAAAAAAATTTTTTTTTGCACTTAAACTATTGATTTTTAAGTGTGGTCTTGAGTCTTTTAGAAATAAATGTTTAATTCCTTGTTGTTAATCCTCCCTAACAGGTTGCATCTGAAATCCAACCAGGAAAGTCTCCAAACAGCTCACCTCTGCAGGCCAATCCCACTGAGCCAACACCAGGACCAGACCAAGTGTCACAAGTTCACATCGAACCCACTAGAGATGGAAACTCAACCACCAAAGAAGAGAACACAGAAAACGTTAAAAGTGACCCAGTAATAGATCCTGAAAAAAATCATAAATCTCGCACTGACATTTTAGGAAACACAGGGGATCCAGAAGTTGTGTCACATGGAATTGATAACAGCCTGCAAGGAAATCATGTATCTGAGAATCCAACAGCAATGATCTTGAATGAACCTCACATTTCATCCTTCACTCTTATTTCAGACCCTACCCCAGAGTCAGAGCTTCTAGTCTCAGGTGAGCTCCCATCATCTAAGGGTGGGGGAGACATCAGAAATGGGAGAGTGGAGGCATTATCAGCAGCAGTTACATTTCAACCTCTATCAGTGATTACTCCATCACTCAAAGCTTTCAGAGGAGAACCGGAGGAGGAAACTGCATCAGAGGACTCTTCTGATCAAACCCCAAAACTGAGAACTACTACATCACAAAGTAAAGAAGCCCTAAACACCTGTGGCTTTAGGAATGAAACACATAACGTGTCCGGCTGTGAAACACTAGAAAAAGAGAAAATAGAAGATGTGAGGAAAGGTGTTTCACTGAAAGAGACAGCAATTCTTCCACAGGAGAGGCAAAAGAGCAGGACAGTGAAGGGTGATTTAGGAATGGAAGAGAAAGAAACAAGACACACAGTGATGAAGGAAAGAAATGATAATAAATCCTCGTCTGATTTAATGTTCCACGGCAATGACTTCATCCGGTCGCAGAACGAAGAAACACAACAGGCTGTCAAAGCGAACAGTCACCCACTGATATACAGACTCCAACACCCAGAGACAAGACCAATTCCTGGAATCAGAGGTCCGAGGGTACGTCTGGAAAATATCTATTTGATTTGTGTCTTAGAAATTCATTAGTAAAGGGTATATCTTAAAACGCACAGATGATTTTCTTTAATTTCACATTTGCAAAAAAGTTGTGAATGATTTTTTTCTAAAGAAATGTCTCCCTCTTCTGGTAAAACCTGATACTGCAGCTGGATTGTTTAGTTTATGTCTAATTTGAAAAGTTTTCCATTTTTGTTCTTTTTATAAATAAATCTTCTTGTAATAAATACAAGTATTTATACATCTCATCTTCATTTCAATGTAAATGAGGCATGAAGGACCTCATGATAATAACAATAGACCTATTTCATTGTAAAAACCTTTGACATTGACTTGAAACTGTTTTGTGTACTGACTTGCTCGTTATTGACGAAATTAGTAAAGTACAGAGTACCTCAGTAATTAAAACTCAGATTACAGATGCACTGTGTCTGTGAGTCCTGTCGTTCTGTCTGTGCTACCTTTGAAATAGTATTTGCAACGTGACTGAGTCCATCATGGTTTAGAGGAAAATAATCATGGTGAAGCTCAGTCAAAAGATTGTGTCGCTTCCAGCTGCTCTTATCAGACCTGATCACATGATGTTTTACTATCAGCTGGAAGCTCAAATGCAGAAAACAAGTAACAATATATTTTGCCAATGAGCTTTTTTATAAAGTGTAACTAATGTTTTTCATCTTTCCTTCAGGGTTCCCCGGGGCTACCAGGACCACCTGGATCTAAAGGAGATAAAGTTGTGCATAATATAAAATCAAAAATACACACACACACACACACACACACACACATATGTGTACATATATGTGTGTGTGTGTGTGTGTGTGTGTGTGTGTGTCTTATAGTAAACTCTGCAGAACATGTTTGACATCATCAAGGCTTTCATCTGTGTCTGTTTCCCTTTAAAACTATGTATTTTTCTTTTGAGGCTAATCTGAACAATGACAACAATTCAACTTTTTTTTCTCCTTTTAATTGACAACGAGTTTGGTTCTTTGCGTTTAAGGGCTACCAGGGTGTCATGGGCAGAACTGGGCACACAGGATACGCAGGTCCCATTGGTCCTCCTGGGATGCCTGCCATCGTTGTATTCAAAACCAACGAAGAAGAATGGGAAGCCTTTAAGGTGAGAGTTTGCTGTGAGACCTTTTCAAAATGAAAGCTCTAAAAACAAAATCTTCACCAAATTCTGTTTTTTATTTTAGTCTTTAATGACCACACACACATGCGCGCACAAACATTTTAAGATGTGATTTATAACAACTGTAAAAACATTCCCTACTCATTGGCTGGGGTATAATTATTTTGTTTTGTTTTGTTTTTTTTTTTACAGAAAAAGAAAATCTATAAAAAGCTGGTTTCTTCCTGGCCAGTAAGTCTCTGTTTTGTAACATGAATGCACTTTTCAAACATTTCATCTTTACTGCCTCTACAATGATTACACTTCAGTGCTGCAGGGATGAATCTTGAGAGAATACTCTTGGTGAATTACAATTTTTATAAAGAAAAGTCTCTGATCATTTTGTCTCTCCAGTTTATGAGGAAACATAAAAAACAATGTTTCCTTAATTCGGATCATTATGCTTTACTGATTTATTTGTAAACCACAAAGTGCAGGTTTAATTTCATTACTTGATGAGTGGAGAGAAAAACTTTTTTTGTGTTTAGTAAATAAAAACTATATTTTCTCAGCTGCAATTGTTTGCAAGCCCTTTAACTTCTACCAAATAAAAAGTAATAAATTCAGTATAAGTTAAAAAATAATGTAATCATGTGGAAAAGTTTGAGATGATGTGTGCTAATATTCAAGGTCAAGGTAACGTCAAGGTAAGTTTATTTTTATAGCACCTTCCAGTTACATGACCAACCCCAAAGTGCTGAACACTGAACAGAATATGAATCAGCATAAAAACACTCTATCCAGTATAATAAACAGATAAAACAGATAATAATGCAACACAACAAAACCACACAATAATAAAAACATTCAACTAAAATGTAGCCTGCCATAAAAGCCAGTTCATGTAAGTACCTCTTAAGTAGGGATTTGAAATGTTCCTAACTCTGTACAGACCTTAGTTGTAGGGGAGGGCTTTTCCATTGGTGTCAGGTCTCGGACCTGACACCAAAAACGCTCTGTCTCCCCTAATTTTCAAAGGAGTCCTCGGAAATTCTAAGAGGAATTGAGAGCCAGACGTCATGTTCCTTGCCAGAGTATAGGGGTTCATCAGTTCCTCAATACACGGAGGAGCCAACCCATTCAGACACTTGAAAACAAAAAGCAGAGTTTTAAAATAGACTCAGTACACTATGGGGAGCCACTGAAGAGAGGCCAGTACGGGAGTAATATTGTAACGATCTGAAATTGTCATGACAATATGGAGCTAAGCACTCCACTGCTCCTCTCACTTTTTTTTCTTCTTGATTATAAATCCGCTGCACCTGTGCGCAGCTGGCTGCCGCACCCTAAACAGGAAAAAAATAGAAAGTGCCTTCAAGCTCCACGGACTTTCTCTCCACCTGTGAACAGAGTGACGTGAACACCGGCTCACAGTGATTTCTACTGAGTAAACAGGCTGTTTTTTAATCAAAGAAGCCATTAATCCCTCAAGGATTGAGACAGATCTGGAGGATGGAAGAGACGCTCAGCAACCAAGTTTCTAAATTCGCTATTTGATGATGTCATCACCTGGACGCACCATATTCATCACAACTTGGCCACTGATGGGGATTGCTTAATCAGATTGCCCATTGAAGAGATCCTTACGTCAAGCAAACAATCTACTAAAACTGAGAACGTGTTTTTCAAACTTCTCATCACTCTCATTTGTTAAACGACCCCTGTCAACTGCTCCAACACAAGGGTAAAATTCTGCACTCACCTGAAAGCACCGCTCCTCCATTATGGACAAGTCAGCTAAAAAAAACTGCATCTGTGAAATAGCTCAAACCTGATTTTCCTCTGGACTATTACCTCCATTCATTGCATTTTTTTGGTCAGACAACTTAATGTAAGGGTGTATGTCGAGTAACATATTTCCTTGTGTAACGGGAGATTTTATTTTCATTCACCATTGCAACTTGTACGCCTGTATTTTCTTGTTATTTTATCCCATGTGTCAGGAGGGAGACCTGACTGGCGCCCAACGTCCATATTCATCTAGTCAATAAAGCAAACCCTGAAAACCGTTACAATATGGTCCCATTTCCTAGAGCTTCTCAGCAAGCATGCAGCCGCATTTTGAACAAGTTGACGTATATTAAATGACACTGCTCTATACCTAAATATAGGGAGTTACAGTAATCCAGGTGACTAGAAACAAATGAATGAATAACATGTCCGAATACTTCAGTTGGAAGGTATGGTTTAACCTTAGCCAACTGCTGCAGATGGTAGATGTCATGTTCTGTGTCCCTTTGTTCCCCAGCCCCTCCAGTTCCCACTCCAGGTTCTCCTTTTGTGTTTCATAGCGCCCTCATGTGTCCTTTGTCTGCATCTAATTTATGTGTCTCTTTGTGTTCCTCATTCATCCCCTGGTCTTCAGCCTTCCAAATACATCTCTCAGGTCCTGTGTTCCTTTAGGCTTCTCCAGTCACCCCTCTGCAGCCAGTCATCCCTCTGCAGTGTTCATAGTTTCAGCTTTTCATTTTATTAGTCTCTTTTATACATTTTGTCCCACCAGTCTTTGTAGTTCTCCTTCCCTTTAGAATATTAGTTATGTGGTTGCTTTTCTTGTTTTTAGGTTTTTTCTTAGGTCATGTGAGTTCCCTCCCTGATTAAGTATTGCTTTCACCTGGTCCTCTCCCCACACACCTGCAGCTCATCTGCCTCCCATCATGCCCCAGTTTATTTAAGCCCTGTCTTGTCTCAGTGTCTTGTCGGTCCATTGTTGTTTGTTCAGTGTTGTTTTGGTGCTCTGTGTGAGCTTCCCGTCCCGTCCCCAGTTTGTGCTCTAAGTGGGCTTTGCGTCTCATGTTCTGGATTTTTGGATTTTGGCTCCCTGCCTTTTTTTTTTAATTCTGTTTATCCTACAATAAAAGGATTTATTTTCTTCATATCTACTCCTGCCTCGTGTCATCCTGGGTTCTGCATTTTGGGTTCTAACATCCCTCCCAAATGTGACAGTGGAAACCAGACTGGACTATTGCGCTCACCTGTCTAGTTAAACTAAAGAAGCCATGAGCAAGGACCTGATGGGCTGGTTACATCGTTTAAAAGATCTGGATTTCCAAAGGGTAAAATCTCCGTCTTGGACTAATTTCATTTCAAACAGTTGATGGACATCCACTCTTTTACATCAGACAAGCATTCAATAAAGGAATCAATTTTGCCAGGAACATAGAAGATAGATTTGTAGGTCATCTGCAAAGCAGTGAAAGGTTTCATTAATCTGTGCTTGAATTATTGAAATGAAATGAAGTATTACATTGATTTGTGTATATGGTAATCAGTAATGTTTGATATGAGAAGGCAATTGTCACCCACACTCAGACAAGGACAAATTAACGAAACATTATCCATATAACATTTGTTGATTTCATTTAATTTCATGAATGATCAACACATATACGCTGAAGCAGTCCTCCTATTATAGAGAGTGGGCTCTCCTGTGGTGTTATCAGAAAAGGCTTTGTTTAGGAACACAGGCTGACAACGTGTTCCTCCTGAAATGTCAACAAGGTTGCAGTATCCTTCTGGCTTTTAGGAAGACAGAGTGCAAAATCCACTTTAGGGGATATAATTAGGTCTGCAGATGACCAGTGGCATTAGGTCAATATGTAGGTGGAAACTGACCATTTCTGGACATCACAATCCCAAGGGCAACATATACAATGAAAAAAGTGTCGGCCCAAGAATGGAGCCCTGAGGCACACAACTGGTCAAGGGTGCTGTCTCAGAAATAAAAGAACCCAATTCGACAGAAAAAGACATCTCCTTTAAATAAGAGCTAAACCATTGGAGGACAGTGCCTTTGAGACCAGCATAGTGCTCCAAACGGGACAACAGAATGTTGTCAATGGTATCAAAGGCAGCTGACAAGTCCAGTAAAAATAAAGCTGCCAACTTTCGTGAATTGTAAATAAGTAGCAGGTCATTAAAAATACGTAAAAGAGCACTTTCAGTGCTATGCCGTGCTATGACGCAACTAAAAACCTGATTGGAATTTTTCTGAAATGCCATTTTGTGCCAATTAATCCTGCAACTGAGAATGAGCTACTTTTTTGATCATCTTGGAAAGAAAACATAGCTTGGAAATTGGTCTGAAATTTGCTAAACAAGTGGGGTCAGCATTTTGACTTTATATTGAAACATTCCCGTTTTCTAGTTCAGTGTTTTTTTTTTGCTTGTTTGTTTGTTACATTCTGTGCATGTTTTAATAAGTTAGGTACTAATATGAACTCTACCCAGCATCCACCTGCTTCTTTAATGAGTATAGCTTTCACAGAGACATGGGTAGCCCAGAAATTTAAACCAATAGAAGCAAAATGATTTTGCTCTGCTGGTCATTTACATGACTCGCCTGACTAAGGCCAAATACATCAAATTATGAAATCTATATTAAACTAAATGCTGAACTGTTTTAACATTTTAACTATTCGTCTTAAATGTGCTTCTTTCTAAATGTTAGTCTTGCTATAAATCTAGTAACATCAACTTGAGAAGCTCTAATGAGAATTACAGCTTTTTTGTAAATAAGTGTTAACTAAAATTTTGTCTTAACTTTTAAAACATTAAATGCTTTCATGGAGTTTTATTTTAAAGGAGTATGTGTTATTGTTTTTTTTTTTTTGTTTATTTCTGTTGTTGTTTGCTGTCTTTAAATATTATCTCTTGACTGTTAATCAAAGTCAGCTTTCCAAAAGACATTAGATGAATACAATTACTGGTAAATGTGAATATATTGCATGTAGAAGAAGAGCTGCCAAATTATTTATATATTTATTGATTTGTTATTCACAGAAACGCAAAGGCCCCCCAGGCCCTCCTGGACCTCCTGGAGGAATTGGACCAGTTGTATGTAAACAATTTGACTTGATAACTTTGGATTATAATGGATTCAAATGATCACAACCAGCTATGATTAACCACGATGTAGATATTGTGATTAATCCCCAATGACATTTTAAGGGACTACCTGGAATTCCCGGAAAGCAAGGACCCAAAGGACATGAAGGGATAATAGTGGGTATCTGATTACCTATCACATATGTTTTGATTGGCTGTACACAAACTCACAAAATCAGATCAATAAGTAAAATAGTTGTTTATCAGATTAAAGTTTATCATTTTTCCAACACAGATAACAGATGAGCAGAACAGGAATGTGACAACCTTTGTTGTTTAGCTTTTAAAAAAATTACGTGATGATAATCATTTTAGCTTCTGGGCCGAAGGCTTCGGTTCAGTAAGGAACTTCTATCCAACAGCAGCGTTTTATCTGTTGTTCTCTAGGGCAGACCCGGACCACAAGGAATGCCGGGTCTTCAGGGTCAACCCGGAGGAGAAGGGACCCCAGGACAAGCAGCAGAACCAGGACCTCTGGGCTTACCCGGAGAACAGGTAAAGCTGCACTCAGACATATGAAGAGTAGAAATCAGCTAGTAAGATATTTTAAAAATCTAAACAGGAAATGATCCAACAGGAAACCAAAGTAGAAATATTTGGAAGGCCTGATTCAAGTGTAAGTGATTCTGTTATCCTACCAACACTGAAATATAGTGGAGGCGTTATTATGATTTGATGTTTGGACAATTTTGGAGTAAACTCTATTAGTATTTAACATGGTTCTGAAATTGGGTACAGAACTCAAAGCACTAATCCAGTACCACAAAATAGTTCTCAAAAACTAAATACTTTTTAAATGAGTCCTTGATTAAAAAGACCTAAATCCTATTGAAATCCCCTTTGTAAATGTGCTGAAATGTATCCTTGTCTTCAAATTAAAATATTTAAAGATAATAATTATTTAAGTAAATAGTTATTTAATGATTTTGATTCCTCACCCTGAAAACTAATTAAAGAAAAAGGAAATCATGCCAAGTCCACACAGGAGATGTGAACATCCATCCATCCATTTTCTTTACACGCTTATCCACACTGGGTCATGGGGGGGGTCGGGGGCTGGTGCTTATCTCCAGCAGTCTTTGGGCAAGTAGGTACACCATGGACAGGTTGCCAGTCCATTGCATGGAAATTTGGACAGGAAGTCTTTAAGTTGTAAGTTACTTTAATCAAAAAAAGTATTTTATTATGTCCACCGCTAAGTATATTTGAACTTTGGTCCTAAATTTAATATGTTGTAATGTTATGTGTTTGTCCTCACAGGGTCCTAAAGGCTACAGAGGAGAGAGAGGCATCAAAGGGGAGCTGGGTGAGTGGGTAAGAGGGTCATTTTTAAGCAGACATCTCTCTGACTCAGTGTTTTTGAGCTGATTGACTTTTTTTAAATGAACGTGATCATGCTAAATACCATTTTTCATTTAAAAAACAAGAAACATATTATTTTTCTCTTCTGTTAGGGTTATCAGGGAGAGGCAGGAGCACAGGGAAGAAGAGGACAAAAAGGTGAAAAGGTCAGATTAAACGTGCAGAACATGGGTTCTTTGTAAAGTGGGACTGATTAACGTGGTGCTGATTGGTTTAACTTAAACAGGGAAACAAAGGAGTCAGAGGCTTTGACGGCCTCCCTGGGTACATTGTAAGTACAGAACAGGATTCTTTTGTTATTGAAAATATTCTTTTGAAAACAAATTATACAACATGACTGTGGATGTGTAGGGGCTGCCTGGAGCCAGGGGTCCACGTGGTTTCCCAGGAACATCCGGACCTGTGGTCAGTCATACAGCTCATGGGATCAGTTTGAGGAAGTTTGTGTGCAGACTTTTAACTGGTCATGTGACAAATAAAATCTAAAAACCTCACATCTTGATTATAACTGACATGTTTTTAGGGAGAGCTTGGTTCTATTGGCTTCAGTGGTCCCCCCGGTCCCCCTGTAAGTTTACAGTAACACAACAATAACATCCAACGTTGTTATTTAAGATCATTAAATGAATTAGGATCTCTCTCCAGGGTACAATTGGTCCTAAAGGAGTAAAAGGAGTCTTAGGAGTTAAAGGGCCTCCAGTAAGTAAATAGTTGGAAGCTAACTATTTTAGAGTAAAGAAAAACTTGAATAAAAAGTGTTTGTGCTTCTAGGGTCATCAAGGTAAAATGGGCTCTAGAGGAGCCTTTGGACCACAGGTAATAAAATGTTAAATGTTCAACCTTTCTTATTGGTGATGTCCATCCTGAAGACATTGTGTTGTTTTAGGGAGAGCCTGGTCCAGGTGGAGCAGCTGGAGTTTCTGGTGTCCGCGGCCCTCAGGTACAGCATAACCTTGAAACACGTTTTTCCATAAAACAATTTTTGTTGTAAAAGAACAACCTTTGTGTGTGTCCCGAAAGGGAAACCCTGGACCAAGTGGACCTCCAGGTTCTAAAGGGGATCCTGTGAGTGTGTTTACAACTATAGCTGTGAGTGTGAAAGAAAGTCTGACGTATCCGTTTTGTACTGCTCATCAGGGTGATACAGGAGATGAGGGGGACATTGGTGAGCCAGGACCTCCTGGACTAAATGTAAGGCAATTAAACCAAAACTCTTTCAATACTTGTGCTAGTCAGTGTTTTCTTGGATGTTCCATTATCTGTCTGAGGATTGTTTCCTGTTCATATTTTAGGGAGCTGCAGGACAAGCAGGAAAGCCAGGACCCTCAGGTGATCCTGTAAGATTACATAAGGCCATTTCATCGTTGACTGTTGCTAAAACGGATCCACCATTTATCATCTGTTACATTCGTTAGTCATTTCTGATATTTCCCACATTTTCTGTTGAACTGCTTTCTTTTTGTTTGCATGCTTTTTACCGACAGGGATTTAAATCCAGGAGGGGTGAGAAAGGGAATCTCGGGGTTACGGGGGATCCAGTGAGCCTTTTTATTTTTTCATTTCTTCGCACATTTGTTGTTCAGTTTGTTGACCAGATCAATTAATCCGTTCTTGGATGGGTGCATGTATTTAGGGACCTCTGGGACCTCCTGGAAAGCCAGGATTTAAGGGCCGTCCAGGCCAAACAGGACTACAAGGACTGGGAGGACCAACAGGACCAGCAGGACTTCCAGGACCCATTGTGAGTCAAATAAACATTTAGTAAGCTACAATTACTTTCATTATTAAGTTTTTTTGTCTTTGTGCAAGGGGCCTGAAGGCATCATGGGGGAGCCTGGGAGGCAGGGGAGAGAAGGTCTTAAGGTCAATTAAGGACATAAATTTTGGAATTAAACATTACACACAAATAGAAAAATCTTTTTTTTGTGCATCACTTGTTTGTGTTTATGCAGGGGGATCGCGGACAAACTGGTATTCAAGGACTTCCTGGGACTCAAGGCATCAAGGTAGACAGTGCAGAAAGAATGTTCACCACATTCATTCATCAGAGGTGTTATTAGGAAACAGAGACCAGTCATTTAAAGCTGGGGTTCATAGTTTGACTTTGAAATCTGAACAGTCATAACTCCCATCCCGCCACGCCTCATACCGCCACGCCTCATACCGCCACGCCTCATACCGCCACGCCTCATACCGCCACGCACAGAGAAATCAGAATCAACAGAGAGAGCAAGATTGTCCATGTGTGATTGGAGGTTGAGAGACGGGGGCGGGACGAGAGGGAATGTATGTTGTTTCAGAAGGAGAGAGGCGAAGTTGGTCTGGTGCAGCTCGTTCGTTTCTTCCTGTTCTTTTTTTTTTTTTGTACGGTGTGGTTCAGCCAACAATAACCTGTTTAGCTTTTCAATATCATCATCATCATCATCACCTTTATTTATAAAAGCACTTTACAGACATATATTGTGTCACCAAGGTGCTGCACAAGGCTAAACTAAAAAGATAAAAACAAAGACTATATAGGAACCCAATAAAAAAATTAAAAACAGCAAAATACAAAACATCAGTTAACACACATATTTAAAAGCCAGATTATAGTAATGGGTCTTCAGCGCCTTCTTAAAAACCTCTACTGACATGGAGAGTCGCACAGATAATGGAAGATCATTCCATAATTTTGGGCCTGCTACCGAAAAAGCCCTGATTCCTCTTGTTTTGAGCCTAGTTGCGGGGACTAGAAGCATATGGTGACTCTGAGCGGAGCGAACGACTAGGTGTATATGGCTGTAACAAGTCAGATAAATATTCTGGTGCCATCCCATTCAATGCCTTAAAAACCAATAAAAGAATTTTAAAACGCGCTCTAAAAACGACCGGTAACCAGTGCAGATCTGCCAGGATGGGTGTCACATGATCATATTTCCTTTTCCCTTCTAGGAATCTTGCCGCGGCGTTTTGCACAAGCTGCAGACTAGCTACTGTACTCTCTCACCCCAATTAAGACAGAGTTACAGTAGTCTTAACGAGAGGTGATACACGCATGCACAACAGTCTCGAGGTCCTTTCTAGTTAAAAATGACTTCACTTTGGCCAGACATCGCAAGTGGTAAAAAGAGGACGATACAACCGCACCCACATGTGCATCAAAGGTGAAAGCGTTATCTAATGTCACTCCTAAGTAGGGATGGGTACCTTTGACATTTGAATCGATCCGGTACTAATTCCCGGTACCTACGAATCGATACCGGTACTTAACAGTACCAATTTTAGATACTCTTGAGTGTTTAATATTTTAATTCTCTTTTATAATTAAATATATATTTTTCTCAATATATAACCATATTTGATAAATATCACGATAAATAACATACAACTGTTTGTATTTTAACATCGTCCTTGTAGTTTTATAAGCTGATAAACTGAAGCAAACATCTTTACTGTGAACTAAATTTACTGTGTATCTTCATTCCTTTTACCGTCCTTTTTCAATTGATTTTTCCTATTGGAAAGTTAGAATTTCCGAGGAGAAAGCGAACGCACCATTAGCTGATAACAATGGTGGCTTAGGAAGCTAACATAACAAGCTAACGTTATCTTAAACAGTTTATTTAACTGCTGGAGCAGATTAAAACGATGATGCCTCACACTTAGATCGTTGTCACTGGTTTCATCTTCACCCAATCACCTGTCGCATTTAGTAAAGTGAAGCCAAACTTTAGAGCGCGTTCATGTTCTTCAAGTCAGAATTTCGGAGTTCCGAGGAGAAAGCGAACACACCATTAGTGAAACGGAAGCTAACAAATCAAGCTAATGTTATCTTAAACATGTTATTTAAGATGAGGATGTCTCACTTAGATCGTTGTCGCTGGTTTCATCATCACCCAGTTACCCATCACATTTAGTGAAGTGGACCCAAGCTTTAGCGTTCGTTCTTTTCTACCATGCTGCTCTGTTTACAACTCGCTCGCAGCGACCGATGACATAAAGCTCTTGCGCATGCGCAGCTGTCTAGGCAAGTTCTCGTTGTGAAGGACGGTACCGAAACGAGGCACCGTTTCAAATGAAGTGAATTGGTGCTCAGTCGGTACTGTGGAATTCGGTCGGTACCTTAAAAAGTACCAAATTCGGTACCCATCTCTACTCCTAAGTTAACTGCCGAAGAACATAGGTAGGCATTCATATCCCTACAATTTAGTTTTGATCGCTCTAACTCACGATGTAACCCATACAGCACTGCCTCAGTTTTGCTTTCATTCAGACATAAAAAATTGTCCGTCAACCATGACTTAACTTCAGTTAGACAGTGCATTAAGGTAATAATGGGACAGTCACTTCTATAATCCAAGGGTAAAGTTGGCAATCGTCAGCATACATATGAAATCGAATTCCATACTTCCTCATGATGTCCCCCAGTGGCAATGTGTAAATCAAAAACAATAGTGGTCCTAATAATGAACCCTGTGGGACCCCCCACTGCAGGTGTGTGAATCCAGAACTAAACCCACCCATCCTTACACTTACAGTCCTATCCTTCAAATAAGATCTGAACCAGTCTAAGGCCAGACCAGAGATTCCGACATTATACTCCAAATGATGGAGCAACACTTCATGGTCCAATAAAGTGACGGCTGTTAACAAACCTCTCGTCCATCCTTTCAAAGACCAGCCGGACGTTAAAATACAATTAATTATCGAGTATTTACCTGTCCAAAACAAACTTTGCCAAGTCATCATTAGTTTTAATCCCTTTGATCATGAAGCTCTCTCATTCCACCCTGCCTCATCAAAAAATATATTTGACTACTTTAGTCATCAATGGCAGCGAGCAGTTTGATTTAAAATGATGACTTTTGTCATCGTTTTGACTCCAATGTAAATTCAAATTGACTGTGGTAAATGTCACATGGCGAGTTTTACATAAGGACTTTTAAACTGTTTAAATTGTATTTTAGAAGTAGAAGGCAGTCGAGGAACATGTAACTTTCTTGACTTGCTTTGGTTGCTCCATAGCAAGCGTCCAGCTACTTCCAGCATCCCATCATAGTGCATGCTAGGAACTGGTTCACATTGTGGGTCACAGCTCTCACTTATGGATGCCAACTTTAATGGTCAGTGCTCTAGGCTCTCGTAAATGGTTCATTTTGCTTTAGAAACCTGGGAAAGGGGCTTATTTTTGAAACATAAATTATAATAGATTATCTCCTTTATATCATAGAACGGGGTCAGATCGTGACATTTCAGCATTTTTAAGTTACTCTGGTGACGTTTTCTGGGCACGTCCAACCGGGAGGAGACCTAAAGGTAGACCAAGGACACGGTGGAGGGACTATGTCTCTCACCTGGCCAGGGAATGCCTTGGGATTCCCCCGGAGGAGCTGGCCCAAGTGGCTGGGGAGAGGGAAGTCTGGGCCTCTCGTCTTAGGCTACTGCCCCCGCGACCCCACTCTGGATAAACGGATGAAAATGGATGGATGGATGGATGGAATGATGTGATTTTAGTGGTCACTGTTATATTTCAGGGTCGAGAAGGCCAAGTGGGATTTTCTGGGGTGCCTGGTCCTGTTGTGAGTATTAGTGAGAGTATTTATTTAACCTAAACGCTCATCATTACACTGAATCTACAACTATTTTACCTACAGGGTGAGATGGGGAAATCAGGAGACAAAGGAGCAGAAGGAGGGCCTGGTATCAAGGTTCTTGTATATCTCTACCATTGCTATTATATGCTAATGCAGCATTCAGTCATAAGATGAAGCTCAACCGTTTTTATTTGACTTTCAGTAATAAATGGGTTTGATTAAATCTCTACTAAATATTCTGCTCCCAAAAGGGAAGTTAATAATTAAAACAGTTTCACTGTCAGATTGCAAATGGAAAAACATCTGTCTGTGACTGGATTCCAAGTTTTAAAAATTATTGAATCAATTATAAATATTATCTACTCAGAAATATAAAGAGTACTCATTAGACGTGTATCTGCAACTGATACAAATTATTAGATTTTCTAACCTGGAATCTTGTATCAGGTTTTTATTTATTTTTAAAGTCAGAATATTACATGTTTCCATGCAGCTTTGTTGTTTTAGGACTTGTTTTCAATATTATTTACTCTATGTTTTATTGTTTGTGCAGGGAAGAGTTGGAGGTCCAGGAGTCCCAGGGTCCAAAGGGCTAAAGGTAATGAAACATTAAATTAAATCATAAATAAAAATTTGATTTGAAATATTTAAATGACACCCTAATACTCTGATCATGGCATAATTTTGTAAAATTGATATCAATAAATGTGACCTTAAAAATTACAGTAGATGGGTAGCTTTTACGTCACGTTTCTAAGACAAGATTGAAGATTGTTAAATCGATCTTGAATCTCGTATGCAAGACAAGATCCTTCTGAGAAAAAATAAAGTACCTATACGACTTGTGTCTGATAGGGTTTACAAGGACATGCAGGCATCAGAGGACAGGATGGTGCTTTTGGAGCCCCGGTAAGACGATCAACACAGTAAAAATGTGTAAATGTCCATTTCTTCCAGTATGCATCATGCTTCATATGTGCACAGTGATTATTTCAGATAGAAAGGGTGTACTTGTGATTTTCTGTGTGATAAAAAGACGTTTCATTCATTAAGATTTTCAGGTTTCTGCTGATTGGAGTGGGCAATTATCTGATACATCGGACATTTATAGAGCTGTCGGGGGCTACTGAAAAAATCCCTGATCTCTGGGGGGTTACTGGGTACTGGGCGTTCAGACTCAGATGTTGCTTGAGGTGAATTGCAAGCTGGAAACTCTGTGCAGCAATTTGGCAGCGATCCCTCCATTTGCATACAGGATGGATACCATGATGGAGAATGCCACTGCACAACATGGATGGAACTGATTGGATCCCCCCACCCAGCAAACATGCCTGTTGGGCCTCCGTGGGGCAAAAATGAGGCCCATGAAGTATTGCCCACAGTGGGACCAACGGCCGTCATGAAATGTAGAGCACATGTAGGCCCCATCATTTAGGGCTATGTGATGGTCCACATATATGGGCCAAGCCCTGTTGGGCCCTCTAGTGTCCCCCTCATGTGCCCCGCATTTCACAACGGTACCTTGGCCCGCACACATGTGCTTCTAGCTGTGGCCCTACTGTGGCCCCTGTTTGTGGGGCCCTCGTGTCCAACGTCTCACGGCTGTACCTTGGCCCACACACGTATGCATTCTGCTATGGCCCCACTGTGGCCCACTGCTGTGGGGTCCTCATGTGCCCAACACTTTACCGCTGCACCCTGGCCCACACATGTCGGCTTCCCACTACAGCTGTAGCCCACTGCTACGGGGCCCTCATGTGCCCTGCATTTCAAAGCAGTACTCTGTCATGTGCGGGTTTCCCATAATTTACCATTTGATAAAAATAAAAATAATAATGATTAGATTTCAAGGTACCTGAAGTGCTTTCCATTATTCATGTGTGCACGCATTCACACACTGGTCGTGATGATGATCTATTAATTGGCCAATGCTGCCCTTTGCGTCCAACATGGGGAAGTTAGCCTGGTCGGTGCTGGGATTGAACCTACAACCTTCTGATTACAGAACAACCCTCTCCACCTCCTGAGCTACTGCTGCCTTATCATTACAATCACTAAATATTATAACAACTCTAATACCTTATATAAGGGGGGGGGGGGGGGGGGGGAACTACATATTTTCTAAATCTAATGAGAAGATTTTAGAATAGAATTCACACTGAATTAAAATGAACTACAACGACACCCAGCAAACATGCCTGTTTGGGCCCACCATGGGCTGTTTCTGGGGTAGTTTAGGCAGGGAAAACTCACACTTACCCCAGAGTTAACACTCTGTGTGTATGAATGGGGCCTGCATGTATTTTCCCATGTGGACCCCACAAATCCATCCAATGCTGAGCCCTTGTGTGGGGCACTGTGCACTGCCAGCCCAATGGATGTTTGCACGTATGCGCTAACAGTGTTTATTACTGTGGGCACCCCACAGTAGTATCTGGCCAAAAACTACCCACAGTGCCCCCATGGGCGAGAGCCAATATGGGAGATCCAGCAGTCTGCCAAGTCGAAACCCTCATGGGGATTTCTGTGGACACCTCACAGTGTTATGTGCCCAACAACTATTCCCAGTGTCCTTGTTGTTGTCAGCCCATGTGGGAAATCCAGCAATCGGCCCAGTTTCAAGTTCAAGTTCAACTTTATTTATAAAGCGCTTTCACATGCCCAAAATGACAAAGTGCTGTACATCAATAATAACAGACCTACATAACAGTTTTAGCCCTCAGTGTGATTTCTGTGGGCATCCCATAGCAGTATCTGCCCAAAAAACTACCCACAGTGGCTTTGTTGGTGTGAGCCAATATGTGGAATACAGCAATCTGCCAAGTTTAATGTCTAATGAGAGTTTCTGTAGGCACTCCATAGTGTTCTGTGCTGATAAACTACCCACAGTTGCCCTGTGGGTGTCAGCTCAAATGGGGAATTCAACAAACTGTCCAGTTAAATTGATCAGGGTGATTTTTGTGGGAACACTACAGTGGTATGTTCCCAAAAACAACCCAGAGTGACCCTGTTGGGTGTGAGCCCATAAGAAGAATCAAGCACTCCACCCAGTTTAACTAACTGTGGGTAGTTTGGGGCACATAGAAATTACTCTGAATTTTTCTTGGTAGACTGTTGGAGTGACACCAAAGGGGTGGGCGCTTTGGTGTCACTCCAACAGTCCAGCAGAACAGTCATTGAGATTCACCAGTGTTCATGATGAGAGCAATTGTTGATTCTCAGCTGGATTTAAGTAATATAAGAAGAGTTTGTTTTCTAAAACAAATAAAAGCCATTTTTGACCTAATTCACCAAACTTTGTTCTCACCTGACGTAAATACCAAACATTAATAAAAATTGAGTCATCAGTTTTTTTTTATTATGTCTTTATATGTGGGGTAACTCTGGCTTTTGCTGGAGTGGTTCACAGCCGAGTGTGAAGCAGCTGGGATGAGAATCAGGTCCTCTAAATCCGAGACCATGGTCTTGAGTTGGAAAAGGCTAGAACGCCTTCTCTGGGTCAGGGATGAGGTCCTGCCTCAAGTGGAGGAGTTTAAGTATCTCGGGGTCTTGTTCACGAGTGAGGGAAAACTGGAGCGGGAGATCAATAGGCAGATTGGTGCTGCATCTGCAGTGATGCAGATGTTGTACCGGTCTGCGTGGGTGAAAAGAGAGCTGAGCCAGAAGGCAAAGCTCTCGATTTACTGGCTGATCTACGTTCCTACCCTCACCTATGGTCACAAGCTTTGAGGAGTGACTGAAAGAATGAGATCGCAGATACAGGCAGACAAAATGAGTTTTCTCCACAGGGTGTCTAGAGATAGGATGAGAAGATCGGTCATGTGGTAGGGGCTCGGCGTAGACCCGCTGCTCCTCCACATCGAGAGAAGCCAGTTGAGGTGGCTCGGGCATCTGATTAGGATACCTCCTAGACGCCTCCATGGTGAGGTTTTCTGGGCACGTCCAACTGGGAGGAGGCCTAAGGGAAGACCCTGGACTTGTTGGAGGGACTATGTTTCTTGCCTGGCCAGGGATTCCCCCACAAGTGTTGGCCCAAGTGGCTGGGCAGAGGGAAGTCTGGGCCTCTCGACTTACGCTGTTGGCCCCACCACCCGACTATGGATGAGCAGAAGAAAATGGATGGATGGGTGGATGTGGGGCAAGGGTGGCAGAGGGGTCAAGTATCTACCCCATAATCAGATGGTTTCAAGCTTGATCCCCACTCAGTCTCTAGCTGTCGTTGTGTCCTTGAGCAAGACACTTACCCAACATTGACTGCTGGTGGTGGTCAGAGGAACTGGTGGCGCCTGTGTACGGCAGCCTCGCCCCCAGGGCAGCTGTGGCTACAATGTAGCTTATCACCACCAGGGTGTGAATGTGTGTGTGAATGGTTGAATGACTGAATATGTTGTAACGCAACTTAAAGGGTTCTGGGACTCTAGAAGGTGATATATCAAATACAGACCGTTGATCATTTTAAAGGTTAGTTAAGATTTTCATTTGTTGCTGAGCAGAAGTGGGATGTGTATAAGTATTTTTATATGTTTCAGGGGCTGGCTGGTGCAAATGGGACAACTGGCGATACTGGACCTCCAGGAACTAAAGTGAGTTTTGAACTCCTTAAACACCACACAGTGTGTGTACCACATAAGCACTTTTAGCTGAAGAACTTTTGGGGAACAGCTGATGTATTTTACAGCTTAAACAACCAAAATGTATATAGAGAACAGCAGCTGGCACATAAAAAACTCCAAATTAACTCCATACTATAAATATTTTGTCATTTTTATGCGTGCACCTCTTTTGAGACGAGGTCAACGCTGTATTTTGTCCCAGACAAGAGAAGTAAAAAATTAGTATTCAATGTATTTAAGCAATCTTTTTACTACAGAGTCTTTAGTTTCTTGAACATTTCATAACAAGAAAACATTTGAGACCTACAGAAAAGAGGTCCTGGGGAACTTCTTTACCACAGCGACACAAATACATGTTTGTTGATCCAATTCTTTGTCTCAGGGATTTCCTGGTAAAACAGGGTTTGCAGGCATCCAGGGACCTGTAGGAAGGAGTGTGAGTGTCTGCTTCATGATGCCTCATCCAACCAAGACAACATGTTGTTGGAGTTATTGAAAATAAATTAGTTATTTCCCGATAAATATATTTGTACCGATCTTCAGGGAGAACCTGGCAGTGCTGGACTTAAAGGGACTCCTGGAAAACCTGGAGACAGAGTGAGTCATACACCGTCATGTGGGCATCGATCACGTTGACTCTGTAGCTATGATATTTGTAAAAATAACAAATTGTTGGTATTTTAATCAGGGTTTTAAAGGTCAACTGGGCCCCAGTGGACTTGGGGGAAGTGAAGGGTTAAAGGTATGAGCTGTAGTTTCATGTTTCCAGTATTTGATCTTCTTGAGATAATATTATTCACATTCTCTGACTATTTTGTAAAGGGTAAAAAAGGTGAGGAAGGACTAAGAGGAAAACAAGGCCCACCAGTGCGTATTACAGTTTCACTACCATATGTCAGTATACATTATTGTAATTTAAATTTTCTGAGGTTTTCCTAAATTATGACTCTTCAAAACTTCAGGGTGAGGTCGGTGCACCGGGACCAAAAGGATACAAAGGACTTCTCGTAAGATGATTTCTACATTTACAATCTACATTTTTAGTTGTTTTTCATAAAAATGTTAGTCATATATTAAATTACAGCTTAAAGCCTCGTGAAAAAAATTTTCCAGAGGTTTTGGAGAACTTTAGCTTTTTTTTTCTTATCTTTTTTGTACTTCAATCATTTTTTTTTCTGTTCATGTGAAGCGCCTCGTGATTTTTATCTTAAGAAGAGCTGAATAAAAGATTGTTTTCTTTCTTTCTTTCTTTCTTTAAAAAGCCAAGGACTGTAGGGTCATTTATGTTATTTTAAATTACATGATTCATTGCATCTTGAGATAACAAAGCAGTTTTTTTAATACCAGCTCATTAGATGAATAGAATAGAATAGAATAGAATAGAATGTATTAATCCCACAGTTGGGAAATTAACCCGTTGCAGCAGCACATACACTTAGAGAAAAGAATGAAGAAAAATAATATAACAATAATAACATAAGCACACAAGCACACAAGGGCAGTAAGCTATTAATTATTGTAATCTTCAAACACTAAAAACAACAAATAATAAGAAGTCTTAGGTTTCCAGAACTATGCAGCATAAGGAACAGACATACTAATGTACATTTGGTATTGCACAAATATTGAACACATATTGAATATTGCACTGATGTTATTGTGTACCAGGATAATGCCAGTACCGTAGACTGAGAAGTTGTACACTCTTACTGCAGAGGAGGTGAATGACCTATGGTAGCATTCTATTTTCCATCTTGGATGCCTCAGTCTGCCACTGAAGGAGCTGTCCATGGCCTCCACATGGAATACAGTGGGTGGGAGGGGTTTTCCAAGATGGAGGTCATCTTCTCCACCATCCTCTTTTCACACATCTCAACAGAATCGAGCTAGCTTTCTTAGCCCTCACATAACCCTTTAACGTTAATGTTTTTGCTCTTAGTGCCCATACAAATACACTAAGGGGATATGATGGTTAATTGGCTTGTTCAGTCTCTTCCTGTCTCAGTCAGAGCTGCCTGCACCCCAACAGACCACAGCTGAGTGAATAACAGAGCCAACAACAGCGTGATAAAAAGAGTTTAGCTGATATGAATTAACTCCGAAGGACCTCAGCCTATTCAGCAGGTGAAGGTGGCTTTGGCCCATCTTATACAGAGCATTATTTTGTAATTATAAAAAAACGACTCGGTGAAAAGCAGTAATGGGTTAATGCCTCAGGTGGATTAAAGAAATTAAATGTGTCTTTCAAAGAAAATAAGTAAAGTACAATCGGTTTCATTTGAAATCTGAGGTTTTCCATTAGCTGTTAATGGAGGAGTTGCTATGGCAAGAAAGTTTTATATAACTTTAAAATAGAATTTTAAAAATTTCAGCTGTCTTATGTTTAAATTTAGCTCCCGTGTACATTGTTCCCCTACAGGGTCTTCAGGGTAATATTGGACCTTGGGGGGAAGTTGGGCCACCTGGTTCTCCAGGTGCTAGAGGACTTCAAGGCCCAACTGGACCTCATGGAGTCTCGGGGTATCCTGTAAGTTTGTTTTAGCAGAGCCTTTAATGTCTTTGGACTTGATGTTTTAATTTATGTGATGTCAGAGCTTTTGTTCAGCCACGAGTCTGCAGCTCTGACAATTACAGCTCAGCTCAGAATTTGTGGAATCATGCTTTTCGGATAAATTATTTATTTTCTGATTGTTGGCACTTTCACCTCACATTCCAGTAGTGGGTGATTCGTCAGCTGGTGAAAGACATTAGGAACAGGATATCAGTCTTTCTCTTCTGGCATCCCCTCCAGACTCAGCTGAGTTAGACCTCATCCCCCACTGGTTACATCAGACCTGAAGACTCGGCGTTGTGCAACGACAAACATTTGATTGGCTGTCCTTCGCTGCTCTCTTAATGTAAAAGTCTAAATTCTGCCATGAAGAAATATGTTTTTGTTAAGTCCATGGAAGTGTGTCTAATCTGATAGACTTCGGTTTTTCGATGAGAACTGCTGACAGACTCTGATGTAAACAGAAAGACAGAAAGTTCCTTTCATTCAAGCTTGGCACAATCTTTCCATTTTCCCCCCTGACTGAGTCACCAGGTCAAGATAAAGCTGATGGGTTTGTTGTCAGGGTGCTAATCTGAAGTCTAGACTTGGACTTTTGGGGGAAATTCCAATGAAACTGTGATTTAGCTTCATCCTCCTGTTTGCAGAAGATGAACCTCATCAGTGCATGTGAATCAAATGCATATTTGTGCTAACATGTAAAAAGAGATGAGGTGTGAAACTTGCCAAACATCAATGTGGAAATGTTCTCCTCTCAGGGTGTTGATGGACCTCTAGGACCAAATGGATCAGCTGGTCTGAAAGGAGACAAGGTTCAGATCTTTTCCTGAGCTTCGTTCAAGATTTATCTGTGTTCCAGTTTAGAAATGTGAGATAATTTAAACAATCATTAATGTACAACTCTGCGTGTTGTCTTCAGGGATCCAAGGGATCTGCGGGTTTGAAGGGAGCTGCTGGTCTCGATGGTGAGGAGGTATAATGATTAGATTGTTTTCATCGTGACGCTTTCATTTATCTGGGCTTACAGTGAGTCTAACCTGTCGATTTGATGTGTAAAGTTATTTAATCCTGATCAAAATAACTTACTGCAGCTTTTGTGTTCAGGGCCAAGTAGGAATCAGGGGACTTAAAGGGCCAAAGGGTCAAAAAGGCAAACCAGTAAGTTCATTTAGCTTTTAAATTTCATGTTTCACATCTTTTACTGCAAAGCGTTGCGGTTCCGGCGGCGTCCGGTGAGCTCTCGCTGGCCCTTGAAAGTCTGAGGGAGAGGGTGTAAATCTCGCGTGAATCTCGTGTAAATATTTTACTGTGCTTTTTCTAGAATTCAAAAAAGCATCAGTATAAAATTTGAAAACCTTTTAGTTCTCTTATTATTCAGGGCGATAAAGGAAATGTTGAAGCTTCTGGGCAGAAAGGAACAAAAGGAGCTGAAGGTGAGAGAGGAAACCAAGGACCACGGGGACGAATAGGACCACCAGGAAAACAGGTTAAATAAAATTAAAATGCTTAATAACAAATGTTACAAAAGTATGACAGCCTCCCAAACAGTGTCCCGAAGCTCATCTGAGAGAGCGCCATAAATCATTTTTATTGATTGAGTTTGAATTGCGGTGTTCCCGCAGATCTCTGAAGATCTCTTTGTCCATCACAGGGGTACAGAGGTGCTCCAGGAGACAGAGGGGAACTGGGGCTTCCAGGGTTAAAGGTCAGGTCTTAAAACACAGAAATCTAAGAAAACATAATGGTTTGGCACAAAACATGACTTATTATTGTTGGATGGTTATTTTTAGGGTGGATCCGGCATCAATGGTTCACCTGGCATGCCTGGCCAGTTTGGGTCTGGGGGTGGTACTGGGCCAGCTGGAGCCAAGGGGCAAAAAGGGCTGTACGGACTGATAGTATGTGTGATTAATAATAATGGGAAAACATGACTGAATGCTACAGGGAAAGAAAAAATGTTGTCTCTTTGTTTTTGAGGGCCCTCCTGGAGTTATCGGTCCCTCTGGAGATGTTGGACCATCATTGTCTGTAAGTTATAATAATCATGAATGTTTCACGAAAACATGAAGTAACTGGATTGTTACTCTGATGTGCTTAATATAAGGAATTGTCTTTAAACTGACTCCTTGACATGTTAAAGGTGCATTATGTGAGAATGAAGTAAGAATGACATCCTGTAATCAAATTTGCAGCCCGTTATCTAAACACAATGGTCACTTTCTCACTTCCGTTCCGTGAGTTTCACGGCTGTTGCCAGTTACGGCACAGCGCCAGAAGATTCTAGATGACATGGAAAGATGAGTCACTCACAGTAATTTGATAAGTAATGTCAAGTTGTTGACAACTGAAAAGATTAGCTTTAGATATTTTGAGAGCTAACTAGCCACCTAGGTAGGCCCTTTATGTAATATTTATGGGCAAATCATATGGGTCCAAACACAGGGCTGCCAACTCTCACGCACTGAGTGTGACACACGCATTTGACCCTCTTCACACGCTCTCACCTCACACCTCCAATATCTCGTGATAAACCAGCGCCTGCGCTCCCCAAACGCATATCACCCACTCACTCACATGCTCCCTCTCCTACATTAGTTGATGACGTGGTGAATTAAAACATTAGGAATCCTAATGTTTTAATTCACAGCTTCACCCGTGTGTTTTTCCTGTTTGTGAGACGAACTCCTCCTCCATAATCAGGTTACTTGTACGGAAGCCTGGAAAGGCCAAAATTCCTCAAACGTTTTTTTTTTTCCCTACTGGCTGATATGAATTAATATAGTAGAATAGAGTAAATTTTATTACTCCCACAGTGGGGACATTCACTCATTACAGCAGCACACACACTTAGAGAAACAGATTACAGGTCAAATTGATTCCAGCCATGTTTGCTTTGATAACTTCAATAACTTCATGCTAATGACCCACATGAACATAATCCTCTGTTTAGAGGATGCAACTACATCAGTGAAGTTAGCTTACTGTAACATGATAGATTTTTTTTCTTGGCAGAAATAATTACTGGTAATATTATGAATGACATGATATTGCCCACCCCTAGATGGAATTTTAAAACATTTACATGAAGTATAACTAAAAGTTCCTGTGTGACATTTGTGACGTGTAGCTGTAACGCTTTACTGCTGATAGATGGACGGACGGACGGACGGACGGTCGGTCGGTGTTGGATGTTAAATTTTCCTCACGAAAAGAAAATTTGCATTAAACAAAGATCAGTTCCCTCTGTAAAGTCAGAGGTACGGAAGAGGATTAGGGCCACTGATAATGATAAACAAATGTTTATTTAATGATTATCTAGATAATGAGTCATGGAAGAAGTTCATATTGATTTAGGAAATCATTCTTGATTTTAGCAACTGATTCGAGCTGGAGTTGCTCCTTCTGCGGAGGCAGACAGATGGGACCTTGGGAAAGAAAGTTATTGTTTATCTTTCAGACTTGCAGAGTCTGTGAGCTGGTATGAAGGCAGGCTCATTTAAAGGGAACACATGCAGTGTTGTGTCTCCTTTCTGACCAGATGTTTGAATAGATGTTGACAGGTCAGACTGTACCTAAACTGACCATTGCTGGACGTTGCAGTAGTATATAACTATAAAAATCTGGTCTAAAGTACATAGAGCGCAGGTCGTGCGTCTTTGGTAGACGCCATATTAGACGCCATTCCTTGTGGTCCTGCACCTGTCGATGACATCACACTAGATGATTGGCTGGATGTACGAATTACTGAAGTTACGTTACCACGTTCGAAAACATTTAGGGAGTAAGAAACATGAATTCAATAACAAAACTGCTAAACTCTTTCCAAAACATATGTGAAAGAACAGAATTGAAAAAGAGATGCAATATATTTTGACCAAGTGTTATTGCCATAGTGTGATTACGTCATCGGCAGGCGCAGGACCCCGAGCAGATCTGGACACTACAGCGCCAGAAAACTAGCATCAGCATTGGTTTCTCTCGATGGAATTAACTGAAGAACCATCAAAGTCTGAGGAGTCACAGCGAGGTTGCGTGCTCTCTGCTTCACAGGTACCAACATTTACCCTCACTGGAATGTTTACTTTGTGAAGTGCCTTGAAACACTCTTGTCCTGGTTTGGCTCTATATCATTAAAGTGGACTGGATTGAATTGAAGTTACCGTAATGTGTTTTTAAGCTAGCGACAGTCACAGTAAAATGGTGTAAAACTACCCTGAAGTGTATGTACTGCCCCCTAGCACCAGGAGCACCAGCTGGCTTACATACTTTCATCTGGGACAGTAGCATGCTTTACTATAATGTTCTTTTCTCTTTCAGTTATTGAACGGTGCGCCAGCAGTGATGTGTTTGTTTATGTGCAAAAGCAATCAATGTAAAATTAGTTTGTGTTTGCAGGGTTTGCCAGGCAAGAGAGGTGATGAGGGCAAATTAGGAGATCCTGGACCAAAGGTTTGATTTGCTGTTTATTGTGATACATCCTAATAATAATAAAAAATCTATTTTCTAGCAACTGCCTGTTAGTCTGTGAGTCTTCATTCGGGTATTTAATTTTACATCTGCTCTTTCTGTAATTCAGGGCAGTCATGGTGAGAAAGGCGTAACTGGTGCTTCAGGCATAAAAGGGGACGTGGTGAGGTTTCATCATGTCAAGACTTTTAGTTTAGTCATGCAAGTTTAATGGTCTGAGTGGAGGCACAATCAGAATGTCTGAATAACTTTTTATCCTTGCAAGGGTGTAAAAGGCCAAAGAGGAGCAACGGGTGAAAATGGGGCACACGGAACAGTGGTAAAAAATAATACAAGTAAATTATCATTTCCTTACTGACCATATTTCTATATAGTAACATTCAGTTATGACTTTATTTAAGGGATCAGTGGGAATGGTGGGCGTCACTGGTCCCCCAGGTGCTAGAGGTTTACATGGACCCGTAGGTCCTCCTGGTTCACCAGGAAGTAAAGGATACCAGGGGGCGAAGGTGAGAATAAATCAGTCTGTTTCAAATGTGAAACATACAAAATAACCTCTCAGAATTATTGTTTAAGAATACTTATTTAAGAACCAGAATGTGTCTTGGTCTACTTTATAAAGGGAGATAAAGGCCAGCCTGGAAAGAAAGGATTCAAAGGAACTGATGGAAGTATTGTGAGTTTCATTTTGGCTGCTAAATTATCTGTTGAAGCTGTTTTTGGTGTAGAAAATTTGTCATCGGGTTTTTCATTTTTCTCACTGACGTAGAATACCGTTGTCTTCTCTGACTGCATAAGTATTTAAAATCATGTGTAGTCTGGTTATTTTGATCCTAAAGCTCTAATCTGCAAAACAAAACAAAACATGTAGTCTATAGAAGCAGTTAATACAACAAGATGTGATACAAAAGGTTATTGCAAGAGCAAAAGTCTGTTTGTGTCTTAGAAACTGAACTTTTCAGAAAATGCATGGTATTTTCCTGCTGGCTGTGTTTGGTTACTAAAGAATAGCCATGTTCTTTAATGATATTTAGCTTTAATTAAATGTATTTTTAGGGAGCTGATGGCCAATCAGGGAGGCCAGGACCTCCTGGACTTCCTGGAAAACCAGCAAGTATCCCAACTAAATAGAATCAAAACATCACTGATGCAGAAAATCTTTTAAAACTCACAAAATGTGTTTGTTTGCAGGGTTTGAGTGGGTTGGATGGTTTGCTAGGGGTTCCGGGTAATGAAGGCTACCCAGTAAGTATTTTAACACTTTCCCGTACATCTATTTAACACGACGCTTATGCTTTTAATTCAATTAATTTGTTTTCTAAAGGGTGAAACTGGTTTCAAAGGAGCTCCAGGGAGAGCAGGAAGACTTGGTCAGAAGGTAGGATAATATTCAATGTCACATCAAACAGATGTTACTTTTCATTTGGACACAAATGATGGTCTTTAATTTAATATTGTAGGGAAAACCTGGACTCCCTGGAAAAGAAGGACACACTGGAGTAACAGGACTGAAAGTATGTCATATTTTTATAATGTCAGTTTAACTACTAGTGGAAAATGAAATGGGAAAATGTTTGTCACCTCTTTTGAAACTCGTCAGGGTCTAACAGGTCTAAAAGGATCACCTGGACCTCGTGGACCAGAGGGCCCAAAGGTACGTTTATTTATTTTGAAGAGGAGAAACATTTTCTATCTAATGTCTGATTTTTAACAGTAACTGTAATTCAGGGTATTCCCGGTCTGAGAGGAATGAAAGGCAACTCCAGAGGCAGTGGCTCTAAGGTGAAATATCCAAAGTTTCCTCACCTCATGGAAAAGGGTTTTTCATGTTTCTTTGTTTTTCTATTTAGGGTCTCACCGGTGACACTGGGATATTGGGGCCAATTGGTCCTCCAGGGTTAAAGGTCATTAAACATTTAAATGTAATTTAATTGCAAGAGCAGGCTTTGAATTCATCCAGGTTTACCCTTACTTTGATCTTACAGGGGAACCCTGGTTTGCAGGGACTAAACGGTCAAACAGGAGAAAAGGGAATGCAAGTAAGTTTCTATTCTCTTTGTTTCAAAATTTTTGCATTGTTTTATCATTCTTTCAGTGTATTTATTAAAGTGCTGTTGTTCACAGGGGGACACGGGTCCTCATGGTCCACGAGGACAGAGAGGCTCCCCAGGGCACGCTGTATGTCGCTGTAATACTGGTATTTTTTATGGTAGCTTAAAGCAACACTTTATGCTTTTAGAGACTTTTGTTGTCTTTCCCAAAGTTAAGTATTAAACAATAATTGCTATGTTGTCATAATTACAGGGTCGCATTGGACAGAAGGTGATTTTGTTTTTTGTCAGTCACATGTGGTTTGCTGTTGCTTGCACATTTTTACAGTCTACCAACAATTTCAGATCTAATAGTCATCCAGTAGATAATTCTTTTGTTACTTCCATCATTTTTTGTCAATAACTGCTTAACTGTGTGTCCTCTAAAGGGGTTGAAAGGTGCCAAGGGCAAGAAGGGGCCAAAGGGGGCGAAGGGCAAGAATGGACCTCCAGTAGGAGCTGAATCTGATTGCTACAGCTCAAGTAAAATAAATTTTAGTATTTATGTATTGTGGTCCGTTTTGTCACAGGGAGAGCCAGGAGCTCCTGGAAAACTCAAGCCCACGCTGACGCAAGGCTCAAAATCAGAGCCAAGGCCAGATACACAAAGCAAGCAGAGTCACAAAGCAAGACCTGGAATGAGACAACAAACCGTACAGAGTTTAGCACAAACACCTAGTCTCCTGAAGCAAAAGGAAGGGCCACAAAAAGTTGGTGCAACCTGTCTAGTTTTGTTTTGCATCAATTTGTCACTTTTTAAGGGAGTGTTGTGATTAATGGACTAAATTAAAATGAATCCTCCGCAGCAGAGCAGGTTAATGTCCAGGAGATGGTCTGGAGATGTTAAAACTGAGAATTCCTTTGGTTTTTCCTGGGGAACTAAAGACAATCCCGCTACCACCTGCTACGAACTGAAACTGATACATCCACATCTTAATGATGGTGAGTGTCTGATAAACCTTCAACTTAACTCAATGTTTAAGTTTATTTGTATAGCACCTTACAGACAGAAGACATGCTGCCACTGTGCTTTACAGACATAGTAAGTCTGAAAAAACCAACTTAAAAAAGCACAAGCATACAATAAAATAAGTAACATGATGAGAACAGATAAAAACTAACACAGGTAAATGCCAAATCATAGATCTCCACCACAGAGTTAGAAGCCCTCATGAACAGAAGCTTGTTCCATAGCTTACTGGATGTGACAACAGAACTATAGCTGATATGATCTGAATTAAGTACATCTAAGTATCAATGACTCTGGTGTTTCAGGTTATTTTTATGTGGATCCTAATCAAGGCTGCCCCTGTGACGCTGTGGAAGTGTTCTGTAACTTTACAGCAGGAGGAACCACGTGCATAAATCCCCTTCAGTCTCAGGTAAACTCATTTATCATGTAAACAGAGAACATACAAGGGTTCTAAAACCTGTTATTGCACAACACACAGAAAAGTCTGTCTCAGCTTCAAGCAATCATAAAAAATGAAGCATCCTCATTGTATACTTTATGATCATTAACATTTTAAAACTGTGTAAGTTTGTGAATTTAATTTTTCATTTTTAACAGTTTTCCCAGAAATAATGAAAAATTCCTATCTCACCCTCCGTGGGTGATCTCGTCCTTCCAAGCTCAGGTCCTCTACCAGAAGCCTGGGAGCTTGAGGGTTCTGCAGTATCTTAGCTGTTCCTAGAACTACACATTTCTGGTCTGAGATGTCTGATGTTTTTCCTGGGATCAGCTTTAGCCACTCCTCCAGTTTGGGGGTTACTGCCCCAAGTACCCCGATGACCACGGGCACCACAATGTCTCCACTCTCCAGGCTTTCTCAAGGTCTTCTTTGAGGACCTGGTACTTCTCTAGTTTCTCGTGTTCCTTTTCTCTGATGTTGCCATCACTTGGTATTGCCACATCAACCACAATGGCTGTCCTCTGTTGTTGGTCCACCACCACATTGTGTAGTTGGTTCACCATCACCATTTTGTTGATGTGGTTCTGAAAGTCCCACAGGAGCTTGGCTCACTCGTTCTAAACCACCTTAGGGGATGTTAACCTTGGGGCGTCTAGTCCATATTCTGCACAGATGTTTCCAGTGTCTCCTTCTCTGTTCGCCATTGTCTGAGACATTCACTGAGCATGTCATCTGTTGGGGCTTTATGATGCACTTATGGATCTTGGATGTTTCATCCCAGACAGTGGCTCTCACACTCACTAGTCCTCAGCCTCCTTCCATATGGCTAGTGGACAGTCTCAAGGTGCTGGATTTGGGATGGAACCCTCCATGCATGGTTAGGAGCTTCTGTGTCTTAACATCTGTGGTCTGTATTTCTTCCTTTGGCCAGCTTATTATTCCTGCAGGATATTTGATTACTGGAAGGGCAGAGATGTTTACTGCCCAGATCTTGTTCTTGCCATTGAGCTGACTTCTTAGGACTTTGCCTTACTCGTAGTTATTTGTGTTATGTGTTATGTGGCTTATTTCCTTGTGGCATCATTTGCTTGTGGGATACCAAGGTAGTTGTAGCTGTCCTCAATGTCTGCTATTGTTCCTTCTGGGAGTGAGATGCCTTCTGTGTTCACTACCGTCCCTTTCTTTGTCACCATCCCACCACACCTCTCAAGTCTCAATGACATTCCGAAATCAGTGCTGTAGATCCAGGTGGTGTGGATCAGTGAACTGATATCTTGCTCTTGGTGTACAGATTTATGTCATCCATGTAGAGGAGGTGGCTGATTGAGGTTCCATTCTTGAGTTGGTATCCATAGTCAGTCTTGTTCATTATTTGGCTGAGGGGGTTCAGACCCATGCAGAACAACAGTGGGGGCAGGGTGTCTCCTTGGTATTTACCTCATTTGATGGAGACTTGTGCAGTTCACTTTCAGTTGACCTCAAGGGTGGTTTTCCACAGCCCCATTGGCTTTGGTACAAAGGCTCTCAGAGTCCTGTTGATGTTGTACAGCTTCAAGCATTCAATGATCCACGAGTGTGACATTGAGTCATGAGCTTTCTTGTAATCAATTCAGGCCTTTTGGGCGACTGTTCAGTCTGTCAGCAGTTGGTGATTAGCTCCTTTGGTATCTTTGCCAATATATAAACTATAGTTCATTTATATATAGTCAGATGACTCCAAAGCACTTTACACTGGTGGTGATGAACTACATCATAGCCACAGCTGCACTGGGGTGCACTGATAGAGGCAAGGCTGCCGAGTATAGGTGCCACCAGTCCCTCCGACCACCACCAGCAGACAAGGTGGGTTGAGGCCTAGTCCACACGTAGCCGGGGTTTTTTAAAAACGAATATCCGCCCCTCCAAAAACTTGCATCCACACCACTGCGCTTTAAAAAAAAACTCTGTCCACACACGTACCCGGATAAATACGTTGTTAAGGAGATGCCAGACCTGTAGGCGGCAGTACTTCCCCCGTTCTTAACCTCGTCCTTCGTCTGTGGTCTTCCGCAAGGAGAAGTAATTCCGCTTGCAAAAACAAACAAGCAAAAAGCGCTTGGACAATTGATGGATCGGGTAGTGACAGAGGGCAGCTCTGAGGGCTTCCATGATGCCGGCTAGTGTAAACACAGGTCACACACGTGATGTCAGCATTTTTTTGTCGTGGAAAGTGACGTTGCAGACCTTAAAACTCCGGTTATGTCCGTCTACACGCAGACACCCAAAACGGAGAAAATGCAGATCTTCACTTTGGCCGGAGTTTTTAAAAAGATTCGTTTTCGTGTGGATGACTGGCCAAAACGTAGAAAACTATCTACGTTTTGGCAGATGCCCGGCAACGTGTGGACAGGGCCTGAGTGTCTTGCCCAAGGGCACAACAGGAGCATTCTCTGCTGGGAGCCGAGATCAATCCCACAACCCTCCAATTACTGGACAACCTGCTCTACCTCCTGAGCTACTGTTGCTGCTGCAGTCCAACTTTACATCTCCTTTAAGCCCCATGAGATGTCTAAGCTGCACCTCTACACTCCTGCTTAGACTCCATTAAAACCTGGTTCACTGAGAACTTTCTACAGCTGAATGAAGATAAGACTGAGATCCTCATCTGTTCCCCAGACAAGCTGGTTCCCAAAGTCAGAGACTCTCTTGGTCAGCTTTCTTCCCGCACCAAACCCTCTGTCAGGAATCTTGGTGTGACCTTTGACCCAGTCATTTATTTCCTACCTCCAGAATTTAATTTAAATCATATCATGTCAATCAAATATGGCTTTTAAAACATGAACTTGTTCCATTTTTAGATAACAATAAACTTGGAACCAAAAGCAATGAATTCAGGGATTCTGTGGTTTTCTCAGCAACATGGTGGCCACAAGGTGAGTCAAAGTCAAGTATAAAATGATTTGTATGAATTAAACAATTAAACAATTACATCTCTCTCTCTCTCTCTCTCTCTCTCTCTCTCTCTCTCTCTCTCTCTCTCTCTCTCTCTCTCTCTCTCTCTCTGTCTCTCTTTGTGTGTGTGTGTGTGTGTGTGTGTGTGTGTGTGTGTGTGTGTGTGTGTGTGTGTGTGTGTGTGTGTGTGTGTGTGTGTGTGTGTGTGTGTGTGTGTGTGTGTGTGTGTGTGTGTGTGTGTGTGTGTGTGTCTGTCTGTGTCTGTGTGTATCAGTTTGAATACGTCAGTGTGGATGTTATACAGTTGAGGTTTCTGTGGTTTCACAGCCTCACATTATTCCAGCACTTTACTCTCAGCTCTGCAGCAAACCAGTCCAGAACTGTTCCCGCAGCAAATTTATCCCACTGGATGGTACACTTGCTGGGCAACTCTGGCAAAGAACTTGATTCACATCTCATTGCAGTTTCCAAGAAAAGCTTTGAGGTGAGACAAAAAGATTTTAGAGTAAAAAAAGAAATTAAATAAACGTGCTAACTGATTATGAAATATTGCATTTTGTTAATGGTTATGTAATTATTAAATAAACATTAATTCTGGTTTATTTTAGGATCTGATGAAAGTAAAAAAAATGCTCATTCATCCTATGCTTACACAGATCTTTTCAAATAGATATAGAGGTCTACAATGGTATTTTTACTACAACATTGATCTACAGTGACTGGGACAGGGTAAACCTATTTAGCAGAATTATGGCTCTGTTTTCCTCAGAGTACTTCCACAAACTTCTCCAGAAGATCACAGTGCTTGAGACTATTTGTTTTTCTATTAGAAGTTAACTGGGAAGTAAATGGACAAGCAGATGGTGGCTCACAGCTAGTTAACATCAGCAATTCTAGAAGAGGGCACAGGGCTCTCTGCCTCAAAATAAAGATATGAGTAGCAGTCCTCCAGGGAACTATCTTGATGCAAAGCCAGAAAGTAAATCATGTTCCTGGGGAATGGGAGAACAAATACCAATCAGGGTCCCACACCAAGAGATCTCAAGGCTACTGGCTTGCGTGCCCTGACATCCAAGCCTTACCATAGTAGCGCACGACAGCGGAGAGCTGGCAAAACGAAGACTTTCAATGAAAATCCTCAACAATTAAGCACACAGTTCCATAACAGATCTATGCCGCTACTGAATGACCCAGGATCAGACGAGCTGGAAAGCTCCTCTTCCCAACAAAACATGGTGGGGAATGAGAATGATAAAAAATCTGCTGCAGGCAAAGAAGCAAAACACTAAGACTGAGCCTCAAACTCTGATAGTAGGTGATTTTCTATAGTCAATAATGTAAATGTAAATGGCATATACACCAGAACATACTGTTTTCCCACACATATTTGATCACTGACATGAGAGAGAGAATCCCAACAATCCTTGCTAAACACCCAACTGTTAAATAAAACCATAACGTATGTTGGTGCAAATGACATTGGTAAAAGACAGTCAGTCATGCAAGACTTTACTGCTCAGTTGAAATCACTCAGCTCTCTGAAAACTGAGGTGTTTATCAGTGGCCTGTTACCAGGCTGAGAGACTGGGTAGGCCATCAGGAACTGCTCTGGAGTGGTTCCCCTCTTATCTTTCTGAGCGCTCCTTCTCTTTGGCCATCTCCAAGTTTAGGCCATCCACCACCTTCCTTACCCATGGTATCCCACAAGGTTCTGTGCTGGGGCCTCTGCTCTTTCTCCTCTAGCTGCTTCCTCTTCAGCACATCCTGAGCTCCTTCAAAGGAATCTCCTACCATCTTTACGCAGATGACATCCAACTGTACATCTCCTTTAAGCCCCATGAGATGTCTAAGCTGCAGCTGTTACACACCTGCTTAGACTCTATTAAAACCTGGATGGCTGGGAGCTTTCTACAGCTGAATGAAGATAAGACTGGGATCCTCATCTGTGCCCCAGACAAGCTGGTTCCCCAAGTCAGAGACTCTCTTGGTCAACTTGCTTCTCACACCAAACCCTCTCAGGATTCTTGGTGTGACCTTTGACCCAGCTCTCACCCTGGCTTCTCATGTCAATTCTCTTCTTCCATCTCAGGAACATTGCTAAGCTGAGTCCCATTCTGTACTGCTCTGAACTTGAGACAGTTATCCACACCTTCATCTCCTCACGCTTAGACTACTGTAACTCTATTTTCACGTGTCTGAGCAGAACCTCCCTGAACCGTCTACAGGTGGTTCAGAATGCCTGTGCTCGCCTTCTGACCAAGTCCTCCAAACACACCCACATCTCCCCACTTCTCCTCCAGCTTCACTGGCTGCCAGTCAACTTCAGGGTTCATTTCAAGATCCTGGTTCTAGTCTATAGGGCCTTACATGGACAAGCACCATCATACATTGGTGATCTTCTCAGTCCCTACACCCCCAGCAGATCCCTGAGGTCCAGTGATCAAAGCCTGCTGGTTGTGCAGCACCAGGCTCAATCAAATCAAATCAATCAAAGATACTTTATTAATCCCAGAGGGAAATTAGAGTTTCAGTACACACAATTCAGAGATCAGACGTACATGGGCAAGACACATGACAAGAATTGGTGACTGTGGTCATTCGCAACCCTGAGTCGCGCTACCTTAATAGAGATAAGAGGGTTACATGAGGATTGGTTCAGGTGGAGGGAAGAAAGGCACTTCAAAGTTACCCTCCCTTCAGGAGGGCAGCTTTGCTCTGCAAAAAAACACCTCAGACAGAGATATGCAACAGGTGACAGATCATTTGCTGCTGTGGCCCCTAGACTCTGGAACTCTCTCCACCTGAGGCTGAGATCAGTGGACTCAGTGGTCTCCTTTAAAATGCAGCTGAAAGCTCACCTGTTCAAGCTGGTTTTGGTGTGACCTTCATCACTCTCTCCTTGTTCTGCTCTCCCCACCTATTCCACCTTCCTCAGGATCCACTGATTTCCCTCTTTCCTATTCACTCTCTCTCTTTCTTTACATGTTTTAATCACCATTGTCTATTTTTGCTTATTTTAAATATATTTTTAATCATTTTCTAAATTCTTTTTTATATTTTACATTTTTTTGTTTTTGTGAAGTGCCTCGTGATTTTTATCTGGGAAGGCGCTATAGAAATGATCTTTTCTTCTTCTACCATCCAGCCAGCAGCAATGATGAAAGATTCAGCAGGTTGTTAGCCCTAAACAGCTCTCTGCTTCATGTAACAGGCGTAAAGTTCACTTTTTTGATCATTTGAACTTTTTTCTGGGATTGCAGACACTTTTTCAGGGCAGATGGGATTCGTCTGAACAAGTGAAACCCTTTATCTCAACCATTTTGCACATCCTGTGCCTTTCTTCTGCCTGCCCTACCAAGGATGCCAAAAGACAAGAAGAGCCCAATCTGGAAATCATAATGGCACATCAGCTATCACTAAAGAGAACATCTTGCTCATCTTGCCAAGGGCAACCTACAAGAAGATTCAGAACAAGATGGCAAAACACAACAGTCTTGTGAACACACTGAAGAGTCACATCAGCCAACATAAAGGATATAGTCACTCCTGGGGCTAATATGATCACTGAGGAGAATCTTTCTGAACTTCCCTTGTCCTTAAAATGTTCACATGCCCCCTCTCTTCCCTCCACCTCTTGTCTGGCCGTGGCAGAGGAGCTGATCAACCCGATCCATGTTGAAATGAACAAGGTGGTCACTCAGATTCCTGCCAGAAGGGAGGGAGAGGTCACTAGGACCATTGATCTCCCACCCACCGCACCCCGCACAACTGTCCCCTCGCCCCCTCCCTAGCAAGCCACAGCTAAATCGGGGAGCTTCTCCACCCACAACCTCTCATCATCAGGTGTGCATGCACTGAACAATCCTCATTGTCCCCTGTCTGATATGTGTTGGGTCAGAGCAAAGGTGGCTATTTTGAACAAAATAGAATCTAAAACATGTTTTCAGTTACTTCACCTTTTTTGGTTACTTACATAACTCCACATGTGTTCATTCATAGTTTTGATGCCTTCAGTGAGAATCTACCAATGTAAATGGTCATGAAAATAAAGACAACACATTGAATGAGGTGTGTTCAGACTTTTAGCCTTTACTGGATAAATACGTTTTAGCAGCACATTGATTATGAAAGACAATTGAACACTCACTGTGTGCAATATAAATTAAATAAATCAATAAATCTCTTAATATTTATTGAACTTCAAATATAAAACAAACTCAAAACATAAAAAAAATACGGTCGGTTGGGGTCCTTCGAGTTCTTTCTTCAGTCTAATAGTGATGGCGGTTGGCCGCACAGATGCCTTATTTTTATTATTTTTTATCAGTTTTTAAAAATTATTTTGGCCAACGGCTGATATAGAAAAAATTGAATATATCGGCCCAATATATTGGCCGGCCTTTAATTTTTGCTGTTCTCTTGCTGTGTTTGTCTTGTCTATTGAACAAGAAAGATATTTTAATTTTGAGAATATAATTGAAATTTTTGTAAATAGTTGCGGCAAATAAATGTGTTAATGTGCTAATTATCATGTTTTCTTTGTATCTGACCATTCAGGTGCATTTAGTTGTGAAGGTTTGTGGTGGCACAGAGTCACATCAAGGTGACATGGAGCTACTTCCTGTCAGAGATCTGGGAATAAAGATAAACACAACATCCAATCCTCTCTGGAACATCTCTGTGGATTTAGGACCCCTGTGTTTTTTGTGAAGAGTAAATTGTGCGTGTGTGCGCTCGCGCGTGTGTGTGTGTGTGTGGGGGGGGGGGGGGGGGGTTAAAAGATGTGTAAATATTTATTTCATATAGAAAACAAAAACAACCTATAATATTATTATGAGTGATTCTGATAAAAGAGGTTAGTTCTGTTTTTTTTTTTTTTTTTTTGTATTTTTGCATTTACAAATTTACTTTTTTTTACATTGTATTGTAAAAAAAGTTTACATTTGTCAGATTGGTTTTGTCACCAAAGACAGTTCAAATTGACCTACAAATTCTTTTTTCTAAGGATATTTAATTTTTCCCCCCGTTTTGTGTTTTTTAAACTGCCTAAAATGCAGTGGATGCTGAATTTTAGCATACGCTAAAACAAAAATTTCTTTGTTGTTTTCATCAATAAACGTTTTTGCATTAAACAGCACATCTCAGAATCAAAAGGGTTTTGTTGCAGTCCAGTTGTTTTCGTCTTTAGTCCAGGTGGGACACTTCTGATGCCGTCTCTTGTTCAAGAGTGGCTTGACACAAGGAATGCGACAACCGAAACCTGTCTTGCATACGTCTGTGCGTGGTTGTTCTTGAAGCACTGACTCCAGCTGCAGTCCACTCCTTGTGAATCTCCCCCACATTTTGAATGGGTTTTGTTTCACAGTCCTCTGCAGGGTGCGGTTCTACCTATTGCTATTACACTTTTTTTACTACATCTTGTTCTTCCCTTTATTTCTCTATTAATGTGCTTGAACACAGAGCTCTGTGAATAGCTAGCCTCTTTAGCAATGACCTTTTGTGTCTTGCCCTCTTTTGCGTTGGTTTTTATTGCTTTCTAATATTCTGAGATACAGAATTTGGGGTTTTCCTAAGTTGTGAGTTATAACTATCAAAAAGAAATAAACGTTTGTAATATATCAGTTTTTGTGTAATAAATGGATCTAATATACAAGTTTCACTTTTTGAATGGAATTACTTAAATAAATGAACTTTGTCATGATATTCTAATTTTATGACCGGCACCTGTATTTCCCCCCCTGAGAACAACTTAGCAAGTGTTCGTTCCTACTATAGCTCTGCAAATGTATTGATTAAATTAGTCAGCCACTCCCATCAATGTTCCTAAACCTTTTTCACGTGTTTTCCCCTAATTATGTGTTTATATCTTGCAGAAAAAAAAGACAGTAGTTTGGAAAAAGTAATAAAATCATCAAATATGGTCTTGAAAGAAAGGCACATAGTGGCACAATTTGTAATTTTGATTATTTTTGGTGGGCTGTCACACTTTTGGTAACCTTTTTAGATACTACATTTGGTTTTACTCGATATATGTATGGTTTATCATTATTATTACTAGTAGTAGTATTAATATTATTATCATCATCATTATTATTATTTATTATTGAGTAGATCTAAGACTTGATTCAGCCTTTAGCATCCTGTGGGTTTGTCATAAATCTATGATGACAGTAAATAAAATGGGCAGCAGTGACGTCAAAAGGAGGAGAGACTTTCAGCCAATCAACGCTCCAGCACGGCTCATCATCTCCCCGGTGTTTGTGGCTAAGGGAAGGTGAGTAGCCACCAGTCGCACTGACACAGCGTCCACGCTTCACGTTCAGCGCTCGGCTCCGTTTAAGAAAGCCTCAACAAGAGAGAACCCGGCCGTTGAAGCGAGTAAGTACTAACTCATTTAACGTTCAGCTTTTCGCGAGGTATCAGCAGGGCGCACATGCCAACCTGTTCCGCCTCCATCGGGGTCAGCCGTCAACAAGTTGGCTAATTGTCTCTCACAGCTGGCGCTAACAAACGGGACTAGCACCAGATAGAAGTGGTGATGTTAAAATGAGATAGCAGCAGTAAACCAACCCAACAGGACAGAGTTATCTCCTGTCTTCACCGCCCTTCTTTCAGTTTAGCCATTAGCTGACCGTGCTGCGTTCATGTGAGTCTGATTTAATTGGAAACTGAGGATTCTTTGTCAGCTGAAGTCTTGGTCATTCACAGAGCGTGGAGACATCTGGACAGTGATTTGCTGACTCCTTATAGTATATGTTTTCTTGTTGTTGCACATAAGAGCTGCTGCTGATAATTTTGTCCTTTTTCTAGTTGCAGGATGGAAAATGGGGGTGAGAGTTTGCTCAGGTCACGCAGCCGACCTGTCCCAAACATGTCCACCTCTTCTGACTTGGACAGCTCTCAGGAGGGGGGTTCTGGTCCTAGAAGACAGCAGGGCAATGGAGACTGTCACACCGCCAGCAACGGTGAGGAAACCTCACCTCCGTCAGCTGACTGGTCACTGCTGTGGATTTTTAAATTTACATGAGTAACTCTTAATCAACTCTTGAGTTGAGTAAGTGTCTATGGAAGTCTTGAGCAGTTAAACCATCTCATGTGTTGATGTCTTCCTCTTTAGTTTGAACTTTGCTATTTGAGTGTTTAACCAGATTGGAGAATGACTGCGTGCAAGTCACGCAAAATACGCAAAAATGACGGATACATCGACATCAGACTTAAAATAGTTTGTGGGTTTTGAAATGGAAAAGGTTAATGATTAAGGAACTAATCTCACTGTCTAATTCATCTGTTGTCTTTTCTGGATGACCATCCTGCTACAGGTGGGTGGGGTGCTACTTTTAACTCCTTACTGTTGACTTTAATGTCATCATCTGGCTTCAGTCAATATGATAACCTATCGTAGCAATGCCTGCAGTAAAACTGTATTTACTTTAGTCATCTGACACATTTTTTATGTGTGAACGATTAATGTTTTGTGTTTTGCAGCTTCAGATCTTAAGACCTCGTTGGTTTTATGTGTTAGTCTCAAATATGACCGCAGCTTTTAGAATAAAAGAAGGAATTCTACCATATGAACTGTGCAGTGACTGAGTTAAAGTTGTTTATTTCTGTCTGAATCTTATTTCTGTTTCAGGGAGGGTTGAAGCTGAACATGTGATCAGCAAAAAGGTGCAACTGAAAAGGAAAGCAGAGGTTAGTGAGTTCAGGTATTGTTCAGCTTGTGGTGGAATGGATCAAACTCACAGATCGGGTCACGGTTTTCAGATCAGATCATTTTTCTGATCTCCAGAAAAAAAAGAAAAGGCAAATTACTTTTGCGCTCTTTATTTTGTACAACTCTTAGTGCAATTTTTTTCTGCTCAATTTTGCTATAAAAATAACTTGCAACAAAAATAAGAATTACAGAGGGTCCAATTGGTGATTAAATGTTAAAACGGCTTGTCACAGACATGCTCACTCCCTGCCAGTCCTGATTTCGCTCATTTCCTCACCTTTCTGAAGTGCTGTTTATTTTTCTTAGATTTGTCCCCAACAATGTGTGTTTGCGATGCTGCACCGTCAGGCTAGAGGCACTCGTGTGTTCATTTTTGCCATTTGTGTCGTCGTCGTATTTTACAGGGGAGCCAGAATACTCCCATACATGCGACTTCAACGAAGCAGGTGGATTTTCAAGCTCTTTTCCCCCTCCGCTAGCCATGACCACCTCTGTGCTTTTCTTGTTTGGATTGAACAGGTGACGCCTCAGCCCTCCACTTGATCAATCCAGGGACCACATGCGTGCTGAACCATTGAGAGATCTCTGCAGATCACGGATCAGTGATGCGTTGCACCCCTACTTGCGATACTTCAAAAATTGCTAGTAGGAGTAGCTGAGTGTGCCTTTTCAGATCATTCCAGAGAAGAATTAAGGACCACAAGAAAGATGATCTCTTCTGAAGATGTCTGAACATTACACTTGGCTGCATAATCAAGAAAAATATGTAATTCCACAGAAAAAGAAAAATACATTTTATTGGACCTAATAAGTTATTATAAAATGGTCTATTTAAAATTCATGTTTTTTTCCTGTAAAAATGAATTGATGCTGAATTTCTTGAGTTTTAATAGTTCTATGCTCGATTCAAAACATGTTCTTAGAGTTCTTTGCACAAAATCCCTCTTACATAAAGCAATTTCAGCAGTTTTATTTCCTACAGTTTCAGTACCTTCCAGAATGAGCTGTTTTAGGGCTCTGCCACTCTAATGAAACCAGCTTGAGCTGGCCACGTCATGCCCACTCCTGCCCCATTCAGGCTGCTATAAGAGCTGCTGCTCCTCCAGCAGCTTACTTGCAAATGAGAGGTGGCTCTATTCTACTTTCCCCATTTATGACATCACAGTCGGACTTTTTGCAACGGCTCGTTTTATGAACAGAATTACCATGACCAAACTACAGAAAATGGATGGACAGGCTTTTTTTTCCAAGTTTGGAGTGTTTCTGGAGTCAGTAGAGGCCTACATGGCTGCAGAAAAGAATGCAAAAGGTGATTTTTTTAGGATAAGTCCCCTTTAAGTTATTGTTCAGCTAATTTGTTTAATTTGGTGAAGAATAGCTCCTGTAGAAACCAGAGATGGCTGGGGAGACATTTCAGCTGTTAGAATAAGGCGTTAACAAGACGAACGCACCGCAAGAAGATGGGATTTATTTTCGTTTTGACCACAGTAAATTAATAACTGACATTATCGGGTGCTACAAGCGAGCAAAACTGCCAAATGTGCCTTTAACTTGGCTGGATATTTGAGGTAAAAATGTATAACTTAAAAATAAGATACATTTTATTTGAATTAAATGAATTTATAAAGATTTGTGCTTAAATTCAGACTTGTACTTAGTCTCTTTCTGGATTATTCCTCTTATCTGATGACACCATCTAGTGGCTGGCAAGCATATCACACTCCCATTTTTTTTAAGATGGCGACTTCACGTTTCTGTTTATAAAGGACTTCTGTAGTCGACAAACAGAGCTAAAACACGTTGTTTTACAAGTATTCTCATGTCATGCTGTGTTCTCATATATTTATATTTTAAAGACTTACTTGTCCGTGAAAAGTTCATCAACTCTGCATCAGCCGAGGTGTTCCTTTAATTTGAAGCAAGTAAACGGTAGTCTAACACTATTGGTTAGCTCTGGCCGGCGCTCAGTTTCCTATTGCACAGAGCTCTGCGGGGCAGGGGGCGTGCTTAGCAAAAAATGAATAAAGATGTATTTCTTACATTATATTACAAGACATGCTAAGATAATCGCTTTTACGGATTTCTGACGAATCGTACATCATTTCTGAAAGGAGAAAACTCCGGAAAGATACTTTAAAGCATGTATGCTAATTTGCATATGACTCGAGGTTAAATAAGTGCATACCATGCTGAGGCATACCGGTGTGTTTTTAATGGAGTCGTAGTGTTTGACATGCAGAAACAGTGCAGTGATTTATTAATACTGTTTATGTTTCAATCCCCATTGAATCATGGCGGATGGCTGCTCATACTGAGCCAGGATCCTCTGGAGGTTTCTTCCTGTTAAAAGGGAGTTTTCCTCTCCACTGTCACTACATGCTTGCTTAGTATGAGGAATAGGGGTGTAACAGTTAACAGGGGGTGTTGAACCATTTCTATTCGGCCTGTTTGGTCCACTTGCATACTGTATCGGTTCATTTTCCGTGAAATAATGAATGTATTTGCGTGATTTAAGTGCAGCGGATAAAAGTTCCTAGGGTAGATTCCGCTTGGTTGCTGTATTGAGTGATGCATGATGGCTGCATGCTCTCGATTTCTGTTTTAAAAATGTGAACTGCAATTTCTGATAAACACCTTTCAGAGCGGATCAAACCAGCTGGCCGTCGCTGCCACTGTGGAGCCTGTAGAGATGCTGAACGAAGCGTTGCGTTGCTCGCCCCTCTCTCTCTTCTCACACTGCAGGCACGCAGCAGCAAAAATGTAAACAATACATGTCTGCTGAACTTGTCCCCTGGGACAATTGATGTTAAGTTTTCATCCTACAATAAAAAATATTATTTAATGAGTTTTAAAGAAGAAACTCTGGGTAGTGTGAGGTGAGTTTTTAAGGCTCGCTGCAGAACTAAAAACACGGAGCATCAACAGTCAAACACAACACTTGTCTGTATGAGTGTGACACTCATAGCTGCACAAATGACCTGTGAAATAGTTAAAGACATCACGCTAGATCAGCAGCCTGAGATGACACCTGGTTCTGCTCACTATAGGAGCCGTTTCAGATATTGAATAAATAAATATTATAATAATAGTTACCAAAAAGTTATTCGAACCAAGCTCTTCAAAACACTGAACCGAATACGATTTTAGCGTACCGTTACACCCCTAATGAGAAGTGCTGTAAAGACTCTGACACCAGTCAGTGACTCAATGCAATCTGCTGAGTTTCTTATATAGAAAACTTTTTACTGGTTGGCCTAATGAACTGACCTGGATTGGAATGTTTACTATGTGAACTGCCTTGGTGCTATATAAACTGAATTGAATTGAAACTGAATTGAGCTGCATATTTATAACATATTTATATAATATATATATTACTTATTTATACATATGTATAATGAACTGTCGGTCTCATCAATAAATAATTTGAGAAAATCCCAACACCACATTCAGACTGTAAAACTGCGTGCATTCTACTTGGCCAGAGCCTGAAGAGTGACCTGATGTGTCAGTTTGAAAACCACATCGCAGACTTCATGGATGGTCTCATTGAAGAATCGATGATCCTCGAGGCTGCGCCTGTATCGGCTGTCTTCTCATCCTCACTTTCAGACAAGGAGAGAGGCAAACTTAGGTAAAGCAGTTCAACTATTACACCCAAATGTTGAATTAATGATTACATTTCAAGTGTGGAGAAAATAATAGATGCTTTTGCCCTTTCCTCAGCTCTGTACTCTTCATCACTGTCATCTTTGTGTATTTCTGCAGGCACCTCCATCCTCATAGCCAAGGAAAGCAGTTTATTAGCCGGAGATCCCTTCTAGAGTGAGTTCACACTTGTCTGAGATGGATGCTCTGTGAGTTCACACGTGTGCAGACACCAGTTTATAATATTTGCTCTCCCACAGTGAGCTGTTTGAGGTGAACCACATCAGGACCATCTACCACATGTTCATTGCTGCGCTCATCCTCTTTATTCTCAGCACATTTGTGGTAGATTTCATTGATGAAGGCAGGTAATAATACAACTTTTATGTCATCTCTTTATATACCTGGGGAAAAAAGTACTTTTTTTCATTTGTGTTCTTAAGTTTTACATCTTCGTCTCTTCTTCAGATTGGTGCTGGACTTTGATCTGCTGGTATATGCATTTGGACAGCTCCCTCTGGTGGTTTGCACGTGGATGTGCATGTTCCTGTCTGTGCTGCTGGTTCCCTACAACCTTTTCCATTTGTGGTGTCAGAGCCAGTCCAGCTCACATGGTAAAAGCAGACTGTGCAGCTGGCTGTTTGGCTCCGTTTACCTGATCTACCAGACTTTAGGTCTGGGATTCCTCCCCACTTATGTGGTGGTGACCAACAGTTTTCCGCCTGCATCCTGCTTTATCATCATCTTGGAACAGGTGGGTGAGCCAGGAGTTTGACCTTAACATGGACCAGATTTGCTGCTGTTCTTGCATGTGCAAGTTTTATTTTTTCCCCTTGTTTCAGGTTCGTCTTATGATGAAAACCCACTCCTTTATCAGAGAGAACGTGCCAAGAGTACTAACTTGGAAAAAAGACAAAAAAAGTATGTAGCTATTCTAGATCTGCATTTTTAATTACTTTTGCTTTGTATTTGCCTGCACATCCTTTTGTCCTAGGTCTCTTCATTAACATGCTGTTTTTTCCATTAACAGACCCTGCTCCTGTGGTCCCTCAGCTTTCTCAGTATCTCTACTTCCTTTTCGCCCCAACGCTGATTTACAGAGACAAGTACCCCAGGTTGGCTGACTCCTATTTGCCCATTTGACCTAAACACAGACCAATATTTTGTCCTTCAGACCCTCGTTTACTAACTTTTTTTTAACCCACTTAATCCAGAAACCCGGTGATCAGATGGAGTTATGTGGCCACAAAGTTACTACAGGTACCAGCTTGTTTTACATTTCCCTGCTCACCTTAAGAAATGCTGCTAGTTGAAGGTATTGAGACAGTTTAACACTTCTACCATTCCACAGGTACTCGGCTGTCTGTTTTATACCTACTATGTGTTTGTGCGGCTGTGCATCCCACAGTTTCGCAGCAACAGTCTGCACCTATTTGATCTGCGGGCCATGGTCCTGTGTGTCTTTAACTCCATACTGCCAGGTAAAGTGAAACATCAGTATTGGTAAATCAATCGTGTTTTGGGTTTTGAACTGTGTATTTCAACTCTTATGCTTGTTTTGTGTCCATTTGTGCAGGAGTTTTGGTTCTGTTGCTGGGATTCTTTGCCTTTCTTCACTGCTGGCTCAATGCTTTTGCTGAGATGCTTCGCTTTGCAGACAGGATGTTTTATAAGGTGCTGCTCTGATTCTCTCTGCAAAACATTGGCTAAGCTTCTGTTGTGTGCAGTATTTCATTGATCCCCTCCTTTCTTTTAGGACTGGTGGAATTCAACATCTTATGCCAACTACTACCGCACTTGGAACGTAGTGGTCCATGACTGGCTGTTTTACTATGTGTACCGAGACTTCCTGTGGGTGAGTGGTCTCTCTGTGGATGGAGTGCAGTATATTTTCTTGTTACAGTACCATTTTAAAAAAAGTGGATCATATTAAACTTTGTTTCTTTCCACCCTGTCGTTCCAGATGTCTCAGAAGCATTTCCGAACTGTAGCCTTGCTTTGTGTGTTCACGTTGTCCGCGGTGGTCCATGAGTACATTCTTGCAGTTTGTTTTGGTTTCTTCTATCCTGTGCTATTCTGCCTCTTCATGTGCTTTGGATGTGAGAAAACACATGCATGCATGCATGATGCTTTTTGGAAATGGTGTGTTTGTTGGGTGTGAATTTCTCATTACAAATCTCTTCTCTTCTTTGGACAGTGATGTTCAACTTTATCGTGCACGACCAAAGGAAAGGGCCTATCTGGAACATATTCATGTGGACGTCCATATTTTTGGGTCAGGGAGTTATAATCTGTCTGTACTCTCAGGAGTGGTATGCCCGGCACTACTGTCCTCAGAAAGAAGTAATGACTTGACTTTTAAATATTTTCCTATAGTTGTGCAGTGTCAGCTAATAGACCAATAATATAACTTATGATGATGATGATGGTGTTTTTGTTCCAGTCTTCCTTCCTAGATTTTCTGAAGCCTCGCTCTTGGAGCTGTCAGCGACCCCTGATGGCAGATTCATAAGCTCTGACCTACAATGAGGAGGACCATCGCTGACCAGTACAAACTCCACTAACCTTTCTATCAGTGCCATAATGTCCACTCGTGTTCATTTTATTGCACTAAATCCGGGCCTGTGTGGAAAAGTGAAACGCCAACAGCTGTAAAGTCTCAATGGTGCCTTATCTGTTGGAGTATTAGGTGAACCCCACCAAAATAAAATAATGGCAATAAAGTCATGGCAGCTGAATGTAAAATGGTGCAAACTGTTTATTTTTTACGTGTGTTGTAATTATTAATATTTGTCTTGATTTGCAGTTGCCACTGTATTGTATCTTCAGTATGCTTGGAAAGATTTATTATACTTTCCATGTGTTTTATGACAAACAAGCAGTGTTTGGTGTTTTTGCTCATATAGATATGACCAAACTGATTTGTGGATCCTAAAGGACTACATATATTTACATCTAATGATGAATATGGCTGCTGAGGTGGGCACAAGTCAGTGAGAACATTGATGTCAAACACATAATTTACAACTGAGTTTATAAGCTGTTGTAATGATCTACAGGTGTTTAAAGCGTTTTGTGAACTTACATTTTGTATTTTGCGATCAGCGCTGAGTCGATCTGCTAGAAAGTGTAAGATTTTACTTAAAAACTTGCAGCTTGCTGCTAAAACGATGGTGATCTTTTTTTTATGAAAACAAAATTTGCATCCTCACCATTAAATAGGTGTTACTGAAATCATACAATCAATTAAATTTAAATGTTTGTGTTGGTGGTGGTCAGAGGATCTGAGGGCGCCAAATGGCAGCCTTGTCTCTGTCAGACCGCCCAAGGGCGGCTGTGGCTACATAGTAGCTTACCATCACTGGCAGTGTGTGAGTGTGAAAGTGCATGAAAGCGCTATTTAAGTTTGATGTATTATTAGTATTACGGTCATGTTTGTACTGTTTTGTAAAAAGTTATTGGACTGCCAATGTTAGTGCCAAATCCAGCAGAACTCTATTATAGAGCATCACCATCAGGTGGCGCTATAGTAAAGCATTTATTTTTTATCCCTGTTAAGGTTTGCCGTGATGTTCTCACGCCTTACATCAGCCAAACGGTACCTGTAAATTAATATTGTTTTAAAGTGTTTGAGTAGAACTTGCCAGGTTTAAACCGTTGTCAACTCCATAATGTCAGATTTATTTCTGCTTTGAATTATTTAAACATTGTTTACAAATGATGAAAACATTTTCAGAGGATTTTTATTTAGAAGAGGTATATTTTTGAGAGCTGACATGGTTATGTCAAGTTTGCCTTTAATGAGATTGTTTTTTGCAATGACCAGGTCATGTGCCATTTGATATTAAAATATGATAAATAAAATATTTCTCTAATGTGGAATATAATATACGTTTTTTTCTTATGTAATTGATATGCCGTTTTATAAATGTTAACATTGGTGAATTATTTACACCCCCCCCCCACCCCCCCACCCCCCGAAATAATCGTGCAAGCCTCAAGTCCTTTTCTTTGTGGAGCTTTTGCACATTTGTGGTCCGCTCTGGGGCCAGACAGCTCCAGCTTTCTCACTGCTGGTACCGGGTTGGTGATGGCGCTGACAGCTTGCAGAGGCGAGCCCCCCCACCCGCCGTGTGCAACACATATTCTGCGGTAAAGATGGCGGCGTCAGAGGGGGCGCGCTGCGGCCGAACAACGGCCAAACTCTTTTAATTAGGTCCGCTTGAACTAAGTCGAGCTTGTCGGGTGGCTTTAATTACTGCAGGGCTACTGCCTGGACATTCGGGACGGAGATAATCGCTGCCTCGCACCGTTGCTGGGATTTTATTGTTAGAGGAAGGCTAGGTGGGTTTCAGTGGTAGCTGCTAGCGTTAGCCAGGCGAGCTAACACTGAGCCGTTCTCCTTTCGGAGAGCAGCAGGGAGGGGATTCGTGAAAAGAATTCGGGTTAGGCCGCACCAGCTTAGGGGAATGTGAACCAGAGGTACCCAGGGGAGGTTTGCTTGCTTCGTCCCACACGTCCTCTGACAAAACTACTGGAATGGGACAGCAGGTAGGCCGCGTCGGTGAGGTTACATCAAGCGGACTCGAGCCACCACAGCCCCACGCGTCCCAACCACACCAGGGGAAGGGGAACCGGGGCAGCGTCGCCGGGAGGAAACTCCGAGAACCCGGCAGCAGCACCGGGACACCACCGGGCAGGGCTGCTGCAGTAAACGTACCAGACCCAGGGATAAATATATTCACGCAGCATTCAGGTAAAGTGCAAGATTCATGTTTATGCGTGGGTGGATGTGTAAGATGTGTTTTCTCTTTGATGTTTGATTCTGCTAGCAAGTCCCTGCTATTTGACAACGACCCGTTAGCGGAAATGGTTTTGACATCCCACATTAGCTCTCGGTGGCACATCCAGTTTATTCTGCTGTTATTCCTCTGTTGACACGATTCAGTGTGGTCACCGAACTGCCCTGATGGTTTAAACGAGAGGGAAAACCCTCAGTACTTTTTGTGACTGCTTGAGGAAGCCCTTAGGGCAGTTCTTGCAAACTGGGACCGGAACTCCACAGCGATGCATGAAGCACCAAGTTCAAGGATCTTGAGATGATCCATGGAAATGACATTTAAATGATTGCTGCGGGGCTTTCTTCACTCTTACTTAAAGAAACTAGACGGCTGAGCTGTGGCAGCGAATATAATAGGTTCGAGACAGTTTGTGTCTTTTTTACATGGCATATTAGAAATAGTTGTACCTTTCAGCCAGGCAGCATTAGTCACGTTGTTATGAGGGTTGAAGCCTGAGCAGTTTGGGATCCACTGGTATTTAGTTTAGAAACCGTGTTCTTGCCTGGGGTCATTTCATTAGCTTTTCCACTCTATTAACTCACTACATCAGTGGCTCACATTACAGTATACTGTATATATATACAGCAATTTTCACTTGAATCTTCTAATATTGTCTACAGTTGCATAACATTTAGTAAAGATTAATCCAAAAGAATTATCTACTTTGTTTTGGTGACTTTTTTCTATTTCAATAATATGCTCTAAATCTGAGACCATGGTCTTGAGTCGGAAAATGGTAGAGCTTTATCCAGTTCAAGGATGAGGTCCTGCCTCAAGTGGAGAAGTTTAGGTTTCTTGGGTTCTTGTTTACAAGCGAGGGTAAGATGGAGCGATAGGCGGATTGGTGCTGCATCTGCAGTGATGTGGGCGTTGTGGTGAAGAGAGCTGAGCCAGTAGGCAAAGCTCTCCATTTACCAATCAATCTACATTCCAACCCTCATCTATGGTCACGAGCTTTGGGTAGTAAGCGAAAGAGTGAGATTGCGGATACAAGCGGCCAAAATTGAGTTTTCTCTGCAGGGTGGCAGGGCTCTCCTTAAAGATAGGGTTAGAAGATCGGTCGTGCGGGAGGGGGTCAGAGTAGACCTCCACTGCTGCTCCTCCACATCAAGAGGAGCCAGTTGTGGTGGCTAAGGCGTCTGGTTAGGGTGCCTCCTGGACGCCTCCCTGGTGAGGTTTTCTGGGCACATCCAGCTGGGAGGAGACCTAAAGGAAGACCCAGGACATGCAGATGAGACTATTTCTCAGCTGGCCAGGGAATGCCTTAGGATTCCTCCTGAGGAGCTGCCTTCAGTGGCTGGGGAGAGGAGAGGGAACCTGGGCCTAACTTGGTTTATGTTTGAGGCTGCTGCCCCCGCGACTGACTCTGAATAAGTGGCTGAACATGGATGGATGGAATATGATCTTTTTAAAATTAATGTTCAAAGCTCCTCTGATTTAATAAAATAGATGTCTATTCTTAGAATATTAAAACCTGAAATGACAACAACAAGGCTGAGGTGGCTTCAGTTACTTGTCTCAACATCACAAGTTTTAAAACAAATCTTTCTGCGTCAGAGCCAGTGGCAATGCTATCATTAGGGCTTGCCGTTATTTTTCCATGTTGTGCAATAACTGATCAGTCTTTCTTCCCATTTGTTGCATACCTTTGCATGTAACATAGTTATGGTGTACTTGATGGCATGTTGGATGGCTTTTACTCACGTTTGATGATGTTTGTATTGCGTTAAGATGTTTAACTACTGGCGTGACCTGTCTAGTTTCCACTCTTATTTGTCTTCGTCCATTGCTGTGAGTTAGGACACAGAAAAGGTGCAACCTTTTGGCAATGGAAAGTATTTTCAGTTCCTGGCTCTTGCACTGTGGAAGTAAGTCGTTACAGACTGACAGACAAGCTTGTTAAGTGCAGCACCACTCGCTTTTGTTGCTGTTCTGCTCAGTTCTTTCCTGTGTTGGGACAGGGATAACCTTTTAATAGCTTCCAAGATGCATTCACACAGCCTCTCTGCAAAGGGACTGCAACTCTTCACAAAGTGCACAATAATGGAACAAAGACACTTGTGAGGAGGCTTGGGCATGTGCACTCAGCCTGTCACTAAATAACGTCCGTAACAAAAATAAAGGTTAATACAGTTGGTTATTTTCCCAAGTCCAATAATCTGTTATGTCCGATTTTTGTATCAGTGAATTGATCAGCGTCCAGTTATGTGCTGCCAGTGGTTCCCAAAGTTGGGATCAGGACCCCACTCACTGTGGGTCATCAATAATTATACAGGGGGTCTTGAGATGGTTTCCAGAAAGAATAAAATAATTTCTGAAACTATATTTCTAGTGTAAATGTTACAAAACTCAACTAAATGGTGATAAATGGAAATGTGAGCATGAGCTGAAGCATTTTTCTTTATGTTCTGAATTATTCAGAGTTTGAAGCCAGATTGTATTGTCAGATCAGAGATATCTGGGGTTGCATGTCCTGACATTTGTGGGTTTGAAGCTGAAGTATTTGGGAACTGCTAAACTAGACTGCTGGGGGTTGCTTCAGTTGTCTTTAGCTCATCTCTGATGTATCCCTGTCCTCATCGGTCCCTAACTTAGAGGACTAACAGGCCAGCTAGAAAAAGATCCACTGAGTGTAACTAGGACAAAGAGCAAACCGCTTTGTTGATTCAAAACGAGCTGGTCAGACCAGCCACCTCATGGAATTTCCGTTGAATCAATGGCTGCAAAGTATTGATGGTTTCCCTTTAAGCTTTGTCAGGACTTCAGGGATCTTAGTATCTGCAGTGGGTCCACCTGATACACACACTATTGATTTGTGCCGTGACAGCATAAAGAAACAGTAGCAGCATCTCTGAAGCTTATTTTCATAAACCCAACAAAGCATCTAAGATCTTATCAGAAAGTGGAAATTGGGGCAGATAAATGGATTGGGATTTTTCATCTTTCTCTCGCTGTATTTTTTATTATTTATTTTGGTAGAATGGCACAGCTCCATCTAAAGTGCAATACTGTTAAAGCTGCCCGGAAGGGAAGAGAGCTTCCTGTGTCGAGGATTTAACAACCTAAGCTGATTTGGATCATGGATGAAATTCAATTGGAGACAAATCTACTTTTCTGTTGACTCTATGTGCTGAAACTCTGACAATTAGGATAAGAAACACCACAAGTGTTGCACCGGGGTAAGAATTTTTTTTTTTTTTTAATTTTTAGGGATGCACCGATACCTCTTTTTTCCAAACCGATACGATACCGATACTTGGATCTGTGTACTCGTCGATTACCGATACCGATACTTCTACCACACAAAAAAATGCAATGATTTGGAATACAGATTTTATTTTCTTCTCTGCTTTCAACAGGAAAAGACTGTGAAGTAGATAAAAAGTAAAATATATGAATGGAAATCATCACAAAACTAAAATATTTGGTGAACAGAAATGACAAGTTACTGTGAAGCCATTTTCAAGCAACTGCATTGGTATCGGTTCCTGGTATCAGTTAACTTTTACCGATACTGGTATCGGTATCTGCACCGATACCGGTATCGGTACATCCCTAGTAATTTTTCTACCTAATGTTTAGATTTTAAAATACTCTTAAAAATAACATCTTTTAGGGAAGATCATGGATTTTAAAATAAAGTATTGGCACTAAAAAGTGTTAAGCACTAGAAAAAGCTTTAGCATGAAATTAGCTAAAATTTGGCAAGGCTAACTTATTGTCCTACAGCTAGCATCAAGCACGATGAGTGTTCTCAGGGACTATTAGAACACAATCAAACACCATCATTTATACATATTGCATGGACCAATAAACTACAAGTAAAGCTCATCATCAATATCTTATATCCTTATTCCTTCTTGATCACAGGCCGACCCCATTTTTAAAAACTACCTATGCTATTTTGTTGTTCTTCATTCTGATCCTTTGCCTTCAGCTTCCTGACCTGATCAGCTCTGCTTGTGCACTAACTTATCCGCTGATAAACCCAGGCTGCTGCAGGGTTTTTTCATTCCAAATCTACTTATGAGGAATAAAAGGACAATTAATCGCTACGGCTATCAAAGATAGACTATGAACAGTTACATAATAATAAAATAGTTGAGATTTTAATGATTTGCCACCAGTCACTCTTCCCGAGGCTAAATGACTAATTAGTGCACTAACTGGTGGAGATCTAATATGTTAAACTCTTCAATACAGCTTAGATTTCCCCGATTTCTTTTTTTTTTATCTTGCAATGGCATGCTCTAGTATATCACCTCTCAATTTAAACCCTAATCTTTTGCATCTGCTACCAGTCAGCTTTAATCTGCATGTCCAAAAACTGCAGATCTGGTATTTATTCCTTAGCCTCAACTCTATTGCTTCTATAATTGAAGGGTGAGGATATATCCGAGCTGTTAAGCTTGGTTTATGCTTGACGCATTCACTTTCCGCTTGGTGATGCGGCTCGCGGATGGAACGCGCTTCACAACTCGCAGCGTTTATGGTTTGTGCGGCTCATCTCTGCGGTGAGCCAATATTCTTCCAAACTGTAGGGGGCAGTATGGAGCTCTACAGCATGCATCCAACACTACACCATAGTAGAAGTAAAAATTACTGTTGTTTACAACATGGCATTTCAGCATTTTTAACAGCGTCCTCGTCTTTTCCGACAGTGCGAGCTATTTCTCTCCAAGAATTATTAACAACATGTTGATCACGGTGATCTCTGAGAGCTGAATCATACAAATGTCTGTATTTACGAACCTCTGCCATAGTAGTTCTTGCCGGTCCGCCATGTTTTTCCGCGTCCGACCGTCCGCGTGGTCAGAAAATTTCCTAGGTGGGTGTTGCGGAAATTTTGGGCCGTGCAGAGACGCGGTGGAGGGGCATGGTTGTTAAAATGACGCAATTTCGCCGCGCGGAGCCG